GTTTTTGGTAATTAGACGGACCGCTGGTGACTAATTGTTCAACTTCTCTCGCTTTAAAGAGGCTGTCTTTGTTCATCTTGTTTATTCTCCCCGGTATCTTTTGTTGTGATCAAATCCCTTCTCTTCCTTCTATCCCCCAGGGTTGTGAGAGTTAGTTCCAATAGCCTATCCTTATAGCTTTAACCCCTTTGCTCTGGCACCGATTTTGTTGCAAAGTTGTGTACTTTTTCAGTTTTAAGTTTGTTTCACAAGGTGCAGATTCCATGCAGGTGATGCATATAATAATTATAATCACTAAGAACTCTTTGACCCGGCCAGGATTCGAACCCATGCCGTCCAGGATCACCCCTAAACGTACACAGTACCGTGACCACCGCACCAATTTACATATAATTATAATTATAATTTATAATAAACAGTTGGGGTACTCTCCAAAATCAGATATTATGTACCTAACTCTGCTCTCATTTCTCTATATTATGCACTAATCTATCCCTATCTTAATTATGGTATCTGTGCATGGGGTTCAACCACTGCAAACCACCTCAAGCCCATCATCACCCAGCAAAAATCTGCTATCAGAATAATAACAAATTCTGTTTTCAGACAACACTCAGCCCCCTTGTTTAACTCCCTAAACATGCTAAACATAATCTCACTCCACAAATTCTCTTGTGTCAATTACATTTACAAAACCTTGTTTAAATGCAAATCCTGCTCTGAAACTCTCCCTGGACAGATGCAATAGGACCCATTATCACCACACCAGAAATAAATATCTCTTTGATATCCCCAGAGTTAAACTTAATCTGTGTAAACACTCTATGCAAATAAAGGGACCCAGTCTATGGAACTCACTCCCTATTAAATTGAAAAGCTGTCCAACTTTTGCGTCATTCAGAAACAATACTAAAAAGTACCTAATTTCATCTTCATAGTTTTGTACCTTTTGCTTTAAAATTACACTGTATCTATTGCTACCCAATCTCCCAATCCTTATGTACCCAATCTGAACATCTTTACCATTGTGATAATTGCTGTCTTCTTATATGTGCTATCAATCTGCTGTATGGTGTCTATTAATCTTGTTTAAATTACCAATCAAGTTGTCAATGTAATCAATCAGAGCTTTAATATACCAATGTGCTTTACTATACCTACTAATCTCTCTCTCATCTCATTTTTTTCTTGCAATGTATCTGTTATCCTTTTATTAATTCTGCTAGAATTTACCTACTTAAAATTATCTGTCAGATTAAGGACCTGCCCGAAACGCTGCGCGTACTAGTGGCTTTACAAGATTGTAAATACTATGCTATGTATTCTCACAAACCCAATGTACCTTCTTGTATATAAATAAATAAATAATAATAATTAATGATTTCAATTTGTTAGGGGACAGCTTTAGGTTTGATATAGTCCTGATTTAGGTTTGAATAGGATGTTCTAAGATTTACCAGTGTTGCATATGCTGAAGATGTTATCCTGTTTGTGTGTGCCTCTGCTGTTAGTGTTGAAATTATATCCACCTTAATTCTCAAATTATATACCTAAATCTCTTTCCAATTCCAGTACACTGTCGTTATCTTTCCCCTTATTTACCTGAATTTACCAAGAGGGCCATTATTGCTCTAGTGGCTTCAACAAGGGCAGGAAGCCTGTGGCTTGTCAAAGATCCCACTCTCCATTTGTCCTGATGATTTTATGTATTTGGATCATAAATTGCAGCAATATTTTGGCATTCACGGTTTCAGCGTAAATGGGTTCGGTTCACCATGGAACAGTGGTTCCATGGGTTCATAACCCTATGGGTGACAAAGCACCTCTGGCGCTGTCCTAAATTGTGAGCCTGAATACGTTGCTCCTTGTTCATGTTGCATATGGCCTTTGAAGAAATGGTCTGGATCAATATCCTTCAAGTTATTCAACATTTTACAAATTCAATGAGATCAGCCCTGTCATGTCTGGTTTACATTGTTGTAAACCTGAGGCCCTCAACCTGTCCTGGTATGGGAGTTGACGTATTTCAGGAGTGATTCTTGTCACCTGGTGTTGAACTTTTTCCAGATCAGATCTTTGTATTTTTGAAGATGAGGTCTTACACAGTTACACAGTTGAATAACTACCTTCTTTTCCCTGAAAGCAAAGTTATGTCTGACTATTCCTTGGATTACATTGGCTTTTTTTTTTTACTGCAACTCCTTGTTGTAAAACTTTAAGAGATTTGTGGATTCTAACTCCAAGGTCCCTTTCTTCTTAAGGTGTAGATTCATTCAGGTCTCCTCTCATTCCAATCTTCATTACCTTACACTTGTTGGGATTGAATTCACGTACACCTCTGCAGCAGAGCCAAATAAATGGGTTTAGCATTCCTTAGGATGTTGTTTGTCCCACAGAGGACCATGCTTTGGTGTTATATTAATAATAATACAGGTATGTAATAATAATAATAGTAATAAAATACATAGGAGCCGTTATGAGGACTTGAACCTATGCTCAGAGTATTGCCAGGCACACGCCCCAGACAACTAGGCAACGACATGGTAAAAGGATTACAACCTGAGGTTCTACTGAACCCATTGGGGGTTCTTGAGGTTTTCACTAAAGGTAAACCAGGATTTCACACAATCCCCCCCCCCATGCACTCTGGCTTTGTCGTCTAGGAATGTTCCTCCTCTGACGCTCATCCTTCAATTCTTTTCTGAGGTTCAGTAGAACCCCAGGTTGCAATCTTTTTACCATGTTGTTGCCTAGTTGTCTGGGGTGTGTGCCTGGAAATACCCAGCGCATTGGTTCGAATCCTCATCATGGCCCCAACGTATTTTCTCATTGATACATCACATTAGTATGATTTCTCTGTGTAAAAATAATATTAATATTTTTATATACAAATATACAGCACATCATGGTTGAGCGGTTAACCAGTAGATTCATATAATGGATATTGAGTAAGCCATTGCTTGATGTTGCTTCAGAGTTATCTTCCCTGTTGTTGGTTTTCCAATTTCCTCGACAGAATTATTTTGACTTTTACCCGAGGGCCGTCGTCTCTCTAGTGGCCTCAATAGGAACAGGAAGCTGGCAAATTATCAAAGGTACCCCTCCCACAATCGACTTGAGAATGGTCCAGGACGGACCGAAACGTCGTCGTCCCTTCACTTTCTAGTGTGTGGTTTGGTCAACATATTTCAGCCATGTTATTGTGACTCCTTGTCTGCGTACCTCCTCCCATTGTTATTGAGGAGTTTTTTCCAGCTGAATACCAAATACCAAATTACTCTCCTCTGTCTTCATTTGGGCTCTGCTGCAGTGGTTATTTGACTCGGCAGGGGAAGGTTCAGTTCATTTTTTTCCCTGTGAAACTAGACTATGAGGATAGTCTTGCTAAAGGCTTCTCGAGGTTTAGTGAGATTCACATTTGGGGAGCTTTCAAATGTTCTTATAATGGTCTCACTTCCATCCAATCTCACCAGAATGGTTAGTACCTGAGGCCTCTTTTCTCTGGCTTTGCAAGACATTCAGCCATTCATTGGTGGATCCACTTCCCTCCGTATTGAAGCAGTTGTTTCTAATGCATAGTCTTTCTTGCATTAACCTGTACCTCTAAATTGTCTATACAGTATACCTAGGTCATAAAAGTATTTGTGTGTACGTCTGATACCATACTACTTGTGAAGGAGGAAATGTACATGTTTATATCTCAGAATGTTTTGTAATACTGTACTGTATGTTTATTGTTTGTGATGTGTGTATATGTATGTATTAACACGATGTACTGAACGGGGTGAGAATAGCTTGAGCTACCTCATCCCTTTGTGTGTATTTTACCTCAATAAACTTATTTCAATTTCAATTTCAACCTGTACCTCTTACCCTCACTACAGCCAGGTTGGAGACACTTGTGGACAGTCCTCCTGGCTCCCATGTGGCCATTTCAACCCTGGTTCCCAACCATCCTGATTTTGTCCCAGCCCTCTTTTATCTATTATCAAACTCCACCTCTTTTAGATGTGATCAGCACCATCACCACCTTTACTGGAGTCAGATGGCAGGCCTCTTAGTTTTGCTTTTACGTTTTTTCTGAGATGGCAGTAGAAAGAGGCTTGACTTCCACCTATATTTCTTTGGCATTTGTCCTTTGTGCCGATGCCTATTGTGATGTAATTTCTTTTCTGGCATTTCCTTGATCGCCAGTTGATGCACAATACTGTTACTTCATTTAGTTTGACCTTGGCAGCCTCTCTGGTGTTTGTGGTTGATGTGTCCTTGTCCCCCTTCCTCAGGCTTTCTCAAGTGTTCTTTTATATCTGAGTAGTTTATGCTCCTCCACAACATTCCTGGTCTCTGGATCTGGCTGTGGGGTCCACAAACGGGACTGAGTCCCGAACACCCAGGGAAGATAACCCTGAAACGCAAGGGTAGTACTTACGGAGCACCTAGGGAAGGTCGCCCTAGGCACATGCAGCTCTGCGTACAATAAGACACCTGGCCACACAACACACTGCTGGTACAGCCACATGGGGGTAAATTCTAGGACAGGAATTAGAGGCCAGAGGTGACCGCTGACGGCCATGCGCATCAGTCGAGAACTAAGGCGGCTCGCCTGAGCCTGCTTCTCCCCCTCCCCCTAGAAGGTGCTAATGAGAGGGTGTGCTAGTTGGATGACATGTTGCTTGTTTGTTTTCTATTTGGGGGGAGTTATTTTGCTCTTGTTAGACATAGGTCACAATTTTCACCAGCTTGTGTTCCGTTTTGTTTCAAATATCTTTCTAGCTGCCCTTCCCTGTCAATGGCACTTACGCCAAACTTTAAATGCAAAGTGCTCATAGGCAATTGCTCCCTGTGCCTCTCTGTGGGGACCAGGTTCTAGCTCGTGGTTCCCAGTAGGCATAAGAACTCCCGTGACTGATGACCCCCTAACTAACATTGCACATGTTCCCCACAGAAAATTACATTTCATTACTATTGAATACTTAGCTTTTGTAGGGTAGAAATAATGATTTCTAAGTTAAAGATTTATTTCAAACTTTGGTTGATAGGGGGAAAGTGCAATATTTACAAGATTAACTTAAATATACTGAGAAAATACACTTTAAGTGCTGAAATTCCTTAAGAAAAAGTGTTGTGCATATAATAATGCTATTAAGGAGCAAAATATGGTTTAAATCCATTTATCTACTAACAAAGATTTGCACATAAAGGTTTATTTTTTCCTATGTAAGCAATTACAACAACTTCATTTGCAAAACCCAAAGATTAAAAGTGGATAAATACACCACAATATTGTACTGTGATGGTTATGCTTGATTGGAAATCCTGAGAGTAATTATAACTCTCAGGAGTATTACTCTCAGATTAATTTAATTAAAATCTTAAAAAAAATTGATTAATTAAAATCTTTGTACATAATTGTTTTTGTTTTCAACTCACAGCAAATGAATATTAAGATACATAAAGTAAATATTTTACATTTAATAAAATTAACATAAAATTGTCCTAATGAAGGCATCAAACTATATATTTTCATCCACTTTCTATCAACAGGATACCCAAGACCAGTGCTATAGCAACACGCATCCTTCTGCACTGTACAGACGGTAAGCTACATAACCTATAACCTCTCGATGGTTAATGGCTCACAAGCAAAACAAAATAAAAAATTAATCGATTCGGCACTAATGTGAAATTGTGAACACAATCGTGCATCACAGTTTAATAAGACAATACAGCGTGTCAACAGGAAACCCCAAAATTGACAGGGAGCCAATTATACAATAGCTTATTCTTGCGCTTGTAAAAATAGAATTTAAACAACAACTTATGACTATTGTATTTTAGGAAGCTCACTTCTCCTTACAGGACACTGTAGTCTTGGGTTTCAGCAAAGGTGATTCTCAAAATTAAAATTGCTAAAATATTTTAATTTTGTAAACAAAAGAAATATTAACATTTTTAATGTTATATGAAGAAAAGGATCATGTGCTCTCATCAAATATGCTGCATGATTGTAACCGAAGCAATGGAGCATTGTACATATCCGGAATACAGTACATAAAAGATCTGACTACTATATATCAATATAAAATCTGTAACATCTGTAATTCAGGAAAGATTATCGAGAATATTTTATGAAAATCACATTATAGAGAAAAAATCTTTTACAAGAAGTTAGTGAATAAATAAAAGAAACTTCAGAGGTAATTATTTACCAGTACAGTAATTGTATTCATCTCTACTTCTCTGTACCTCTTAAGAATTAGGAAGACAATATCATTATTATGTAAAAAGTTAACCTGTCCATTACAAATGAAACATTATATATAAAGAGCATATGATTAAGTTTCTCAGGATAGTGATCGTCAAACATTCAGCTGTGCAACACAATCACATTCACAACCCTGCAGTCAATAATCGCACATTAATCCTGAAGTAAAACAGAGCTCTAAATATTACACTATTACTCTTTAAAACAAATTATTATTTTACTTTCAAATGATTTCTCAGACCAATTTAATTTTCTTCCCAAAATAATTTCTCATGTTAATTAAAAAAATAAATATTTAAACAAATTAATACTCTGCCACATAACACATCATTATGTACAACCATATACTGTATAGAAATAGTTGAACACTGTTCATTCATCTTCAAAAATAATCACACTTTGTCAGTTATACTAAAAACTTTTTAACTCGTCTTGCTTTACAAGAATCAATTATTTTTCAACTTCCTTCTTTCTGAACAAATTCACAAGGGCCGTGACGAGGATTCGAACCTGCGTCCGGGAGCATCCCAGACACTGCCTTGTTCATTTGATGCATTATGTTATTGTGATCTCTGTGTGTCCTTCTTTCTCCTGTTCTCCTCAGTGCTGTGAGGAGGTAGAGGAAGAGGTTGCTGACACCACCCACTGCATGACGGCCGTGTCTCTCCCGCCAGTAGAAATGAGTCTGGAGTCGTCGTGGAGGAAACCAAGAGCCGTCACGTGACTGCTGTGGCCGCTGTACTCCAGACATCGAGCCTGTAACACACATACAGTAAGATGAGTAAGATAAGTAAGTAAGATAAGATGAGCAAGATGAGTAGTAACTTAAGTAGAATCCATCTATAATACTGATATATAATAGTGTATGTAAATTAATGAATTAGTAATTATAATATAAAAACAGTATAAATATACAGTATAAAGGTTATAAGAAAATATAGTAATAATTGTAATTCACTGTCAGGGACAGGCAGCCAGTTTATATACTTGTTAAGCTTATATAAAGGTCCCCTGTCCCCACCCTCCCCCATCCCCTCAAGGTTAAATTACAAACCCTCCCCAGGATACAACCCCACAAAAAGCTAACTCCTGGGTACCTTTTTTTTTTTACTGGTATGTAGGGGAACAGGTGCATTAGGCGATAGGAAACATGCCCAACCATTTCTGTCCTGCCCGGGGTTTGAGCCTGACTACTACCAGGACCCTCTTGAGGTTATCTTGAGATGATTTCGGGGCTTTAGTGTCCCCGCGGCCTGGTCCTCGACCAGGCCTCCACCCCCAGGAAGCAGCCCGTGACAGCTGACTAACACCCAGGTACCTATTTTACTGCTAGGTAACAGGGGCATAGGGTGAAAGAAACTCTGCCCATTGTTTCTCGCCGGCACCTGGAATCGAACCCGGGACCACAGGATCACAAGTCCAGCGTGCTGTCCGCTCGGCCGATCGGCTCCCTAAATATAAACCCTAAATATATTTTATAAATTCCCGAGGCATTCAAACAATCCAAAGGAAAGTCAAAGCTGCATAACATTCTCTATATTTACCTTTTGGTGACAAGCAGGGCTGTTAAACATTTTCACTTTGCCGAAGTCATCTCCTGTAGCTAACACTGAAGAATGGTTGGCTTTGGTGCAGGTGTTGACATCAGTGCCGTCTGCACCTTCAGGCCAGATGCCCAGAGTGGCAAAGGTCAGTGTGCAGGTGTTGCTTGCCCATTCCACATCGCGCATCTGCGCCGTCTGCACAATTTGCCGACACAGTCCACCATTCCCTTTGCAAAAAATTAACATTACAATTTCTTTTATATTATTGATCAACGATATTATACTGTAAATTACAATATAGCTTTAGATATCAAATAGGTGTGTGCATGTTATATATTCTTTCTCTACAGCAAAGCTGGATAATTCATGCATAGTAACAAGCACAGTACATTAGAACATTCCCTTGTTGTACCATAGTCATTTATTTTCAGCAATTTACAGTAGACCTCTGTACAGCAGGATTTAATGGCCACAATTATGTAGAATCAAATTTGGTCCTATTTATCAGTTTAAGGCTAGACTAATAATGATTTTATTCATTGCACATGAGTAATATTAATCAGATTTTTACTAAATATCTGGACCCCACCCTGTTGTAAACTATGAAATTAGACTTCGTCATTTTTTTCTGGAGCAAGTAATAAGAAGTGTACATATGTATCAGCTCATTTTTGCATTACTGGTATAGGTAAAATTTCACACAATATTGTACTTAGCTACTTTATTATTTTGTTTAACACAGGTGGGTACAGAAGCAGATGACTTAAATGTTAGTAGGCTTAAAGCTCTCCCTTCAACAGCTTATCTTAAGCTTTACCCCCACCAGTTGTCTCTGGAACAGCAGCTGCCAATCTGCTTGGTGAACAGTTAGGGATCACTGACCTTAATGTTCCCTTCCCAGAAGGGTACATTAATGAAGGAATTAATTTCATGTCACTGGAAGACTGGAGTTGTTAGGGGGAGACATGATTATAACATTAAATTCTCAGGGAAACTGAAAGCGGCAGGCAAGGACAGATTATTTGAAATTGGTGGTACAGCACATGAATAAGGGAACAAAGCTGCATAATTCATGCTTAGTAAAAAGTATATATTAAAACACTCCCTCATTGTACCATAATCATTAATTTTTAAGAGTTTACAATAGACCACTAGTGGCTCCCTGAAGCTACTATCACTGAGAGTGTGCTATACTACTAGGTCCGCATCTATTGTCCTACCTGGGACCACAAGCTAGACTCTGGCCCCCTCCTTCCCCCTCACAGAGATGCAGGGAGCAGTGGCACTTATGATAACATTTTAGTTATTTATTCATGTGTGCCACCACTGAGGAAGGCACCCAGAAAGTCGGTGAAACAAAACAAACCACTGCTGGTTACAGACAAGACCGCAGCCTCGAGAACACCAATAGAACCCCCCTGCCCCCTTTCCCCAACTGTGTAAACAATCGAAACTTCATGAAACTTGTGCTTGTTCACCTTCTCCTTGTTTTGGGGAAAAGGAGGCAGCCCATGATCAGCTGGCTGCTGCTCTGTCATTCTAGCTTCAGTGATCCGTTTTCAGCTAAGTGGTGTTTTAGCCTTCGTGGCCATTTCTGTGCACTTTGGTGCAGTGTAAGCCAGGAAACCCTGAGCACATGCAGTACAGGCGCTGCATGTGCGCTCCTTAGTGCTGCCAGGGTTATCTTCCCTGGAGTGTTCAGAGATCACTCCCTTAGAGGTCCTCCTTACTTGTGTGGACCTCACTCTGGATAAGTCGGTTGTCTTTGGCTTTGTCTCTCCTTGAGTTGGGAGCGATATTGGCTGGCAGGACACACTGGGTTCACGAGCTTCAATCAGCATGCCAGGGCCAGCCTTCACAACAAGAGCCTGACTGTGTTGGCTTACTCATACCTTTGTAGATTAACAAGAGAACCTGTACAAATACAGTATATATATATGGAGCTGGCATAGTGTCCCAGATCTATATATACTATATATTCTGCTTCCTGTAGGGTCACTACCCCCTGTAGGTTTGGTCCTCCTATGGATATCCCCCCAAACCTGCATTGGCTTTGTGTGAATAGAAGGTTGCATATCATCTGTGCGATGCCAAGTGGCGACACTCATTCCTTCTGCCTCTGCCATGCTGCCTGTTGGGTTGGTGACTCCTATGACCCTGACTCATGGGGTTTGTTCCTGTCATGTTGCTCTCTTTACTCACCTGCCCTAATGAGGCTTGGATTTTTCAGGCAGCGACCGCATTGCGTCTTAGGCATTCTGTGTTGCCGTGGTATATGTTATGTGCCTGGCAGCATGCCCCAGAACCGTCCTGGTTGGTGTTTAGGGACCTGGAGTTGGAGGTGTTAACTCAATCTTGGCTCCGTTCGTATCTCCTCATCCTTCCCCCTTGGGCGTGGAGGCAATTGAGCCTTTTGGCATTGTCGAGGCTTCTGGGTATTCCTCTCGGGGTAGGTTTCTTCCCAGCCAGGCTTCTTCCTTTGAAGCCTCTTCCTTGGACTCCACGTCTCTATTCCAGGTGGTGGGTGCAGACGATGGCTCTGCCCCTGGGCCCTCAATGGTGGTTGCTGGAGCTTGGAGGGATTCTAGTATGGGTCATTGGGTCCCATTTGAATATGTGGTTCCTCATTCCTTCTGCAGAGTATCTTCTGTTGCAGGGGGGGTAGGGGGTTTTGTATCCCCCCCTCACTATATGAGTTTGATTTGGGTGCAGCTTCCTTTAGGGTTTGGTTCCGAGAGACTTTGGGCCCTTCAGGTTTGCTCTTCTGGAGGTTTCTCTCCTTTTGGGTTCTCCTGCAGCAGATTGGGAGGCCCTTTTTGCATAGTTCCTGCATGACCCAAATTATGCCTTGTTGATGGACCTGGCCTCTTTCGAGTTTGGGTCTTCCGCTTCTCGGATGTGTTACAAGATCAGTCCCCCCCCTTTTTTTTAAGCTTCAGGCTTGGCGTGGCCAGCATGCTTGAGTGGTGTGAGGTGTTACAGGTGTTTTGAGAGCCCTGTTTTTGTTTTTTAAGCCTCTCGACGACTACATGTTTAATCGAGTTCTATCTCACAACGTGAGTCTTGTGCAGCTCCTTGCCCAAGTTCCCCTGTTGTCGGCAACGCTGGTGGTGAACAACCTTCGTGCTCATCTGCACCTGGGTTCTGTCATGTGCTTTTTGGATCTACTGCAGCTGCATTCTAACTGCCTCACGGAGGGCATAGGAGCACTCGGCAGGGTGCATCATGTGGGGGTCTGATTTGTGGGCTTTTCAGATCCTTTCTTTCAACCTGCAGGGAGTCCGTCAGTCATTCTTCCTTTGGGGGTTTGGACCTTTCCAGGCAGGTTTCCTCTCCATTGTGTCTAGAATTAGCGATGTGCATAGTAAATCATGACCCATTTTGTGTCTTATGCTAGCATCATTTCCTGGTATTGTGGCATTATGCTGTCCTTAGATTTCACTACCACACCCACCACAGAGGCTTAGTGGTTCGCAATCTTGCTTGAAAATGTACATATTGTATGTAGTTATACTGTAAATAATACATGCTTTATATATAACTACAATACAGTATGTATATTTTCATGCATGATTACAAACCATTAATCTGCTCTAGTGGGTGTGGTAATCTTATAAAATGTCGTCACTAGTTGAGACTAGCATCTCAAGTTGTGCGTGAAAGTGTAACTGCAAGCTAATGTTATACCACCTTTTTTCAAGTGCAATGACACAAATACTATTATTGACAACCTACTGTATCACAGCATTTAGATCATAGGTATGCACAAATATATTTGTCACTAAAAAACTAGTATGTTTTTTAGTGACAAATATATTTGTGCATTCTGTACCTATGATCTAAATGCTGTGATACAGTAGCTTGTCAATAATAGCATTTGTGTCATTGCACTTGAAAAAAGGTGGTATAACATTAGCTTGCAGTTACACTTTCATGCACAACTTGAGACGCTAGTCTCAACTAGTGACGACATTCTATAAGATTACCACACCCACTAGAGCAGATTAATGGTTTGCATGTAAATGTATTGTATAGTGGCAAAACTGGCAAACCCCTCACAGTGTTCAAGAGAGAACTGGATAAGCACCTCCAAAGGATACCTGATCAACCAGGCTGTGACTCATACGTCAGGCTGCGAGCAGCCGCGTCTAACAGCCTGGTTGATCAGTCCAGCAACCAGGAGGCCTGGTCGAGGACTGGGCCGCGGGGACACTAAGCCCCGGAAGCACCTCAAGGTAGGTAGTGTGTATACAGTATAACGACACCAAAAATAGAATGTTTTATTGTTGTAAACAAATATTGTACGCATCTTAGTGACAAGAATATACATACGAACATTCTGTTTTTCCACACATTTCATTACATTATTTTCTAAAAAAAAAAAAAACACTACTGAAAAAAAACTAGTCAAACATTGGAATAAATATTTATTTATATATATATATATACAGGACTTATTACATTCTTGTAAAGCCACTAGCCATTGCATTTTGGGCAGGTCCTTACTCTTAATTTTCCCTGGAATATGACCTAACAAATTGTTTACCAACCAGGTACCCATTCACTGCTAGGTGAACAAAGGCATACAGTTAAGGACTGGTGCCTAGTCAATACTTCCTGACCAGGATACGAACCCAGGCCAAATCGCTTGCGAAGTGCAAGTGTTTTACCATGGGGCAGTGATAAGAGGACTGGAATTTGTTACTGCCTCGGTCAGGAATTGATCTCAGGCCCCTTGGACTACGGCCCCCAAGCACTGTCCACTCAGCCACAAGGCTCCCTTGGAAGTAGTTTGGCGAGGGTGTGGTAGTAGTTGCGTAGGGGTGAGGGGGAAGTAGTCGAGTGTGGTGGTAGTTGGGCGAGTTTATATACTAATTGAGATGTTAGCTCTTGGACCCTGCCTATCTGATCGATGGTTGTCTTATGTAGACTCGTGACTTTTTTCCTGCATCGTATCTACTACATATATTTTTATGTAGTAGTTATGATAGAGAGGAATAGGTCAGGGGTCAGTACATTAGACAACTAACGATTAGATAGGCAGGATCCAAGAGCTAACAGCTCAATTAGTATATAAACTTGCCCAACTACCACCACACTCGACTACTTCCCCCTCACCCCTACGCAACTACAACCACACACTTGCTAAATTACTTCCAAGGGAGCCTTGCGGCTGAGTGGACAGTGCTTGGGGGGCCGTAGTCCCAAGGGCCCGAGATCGATTCCTGGCCGAGGCAGTAACAAATTCCAGTCCTCTTATCACTGCCCCATGGTAAAACACTTGCTCTTTGCAAGTGATTTGGCCTGGGTTTGTATCCTGGCCAGGGAGGACTGACTAGGCACCAGTTTATTTTATATATTATAATAGAGGAGAAATACATCAGGGGTCAGTGCATTAGAGAACTGACAGAAAGGCAGGGTCCAATAGCTTGTGACAAACTTCGGCATCATCTAGGTTCCGAGCTACAACAGTTAACCCTCCTATTAATGTTTCCCATCTTCTAGTCTGGTGTTGTGGGAGGTGATGAGGTACTGGTGGCTGATGGCAGGGAGGCAGAGTGAAGCAGTACACTGTTGTTGACTTTGGGACACTTCTGCTGGAGCATACTGTACTAGCGAGGATGCTAGTGGAGGGCTTGAAGATGCCACTGTAAATGAAAGCTAGTGTGAAGGCTAGTGTTGCACTGGAAGACCTCGTCAGTGGGATGTAAATAGTGTCCGTCACGGTGGAAGCGAGCTAGCGTTGTGCTGGAAGACCTCGTCAGAGGAGTGTATATAGTGGTAGTTGAAATTAATAAGGGATATTTTTTATGCTTCATTTTATCTTACCTTAAACATTACACTGCATTTCCACTGAGGTTAGGGATCTCTGGACTTTAAAAGGATCAGAGAGTTTAAAAGAACCCAGTTGTGGATGAAGAGTTGGAAACATTAATGGCAGCCCCAGCGGGACTCTTTCTGCTTGTCCAGAGTTTCCATTGACCTTGGTGGATGTAGTCATTAATGTTTCCAACTCTTCATCCACAACTGGGTTCTTTTAAACTCTCTGATCCTTTTAAAGTCCAGAGATCCCTAACCTCAGTGGAAATGCAGTGTAATGTTTAAGGTAAGATAAAATGAAGCATAAAAAATATCCCTTATTAATTTCAACTACCACTATATACACTCCTCTGACGAGGTCTTCCAGCACAACGCTAGCTCGCTTCCACCGTGACGGACACTATTTACATCCCACTGACGAGGTCTTCCAGTGCAACACTAGCCTTCACACTAGCTTTCATTTACAGTGGCATCTTCAAGCCCTCCACTAGCATCCTCGCTAGTACAGTATGCTCCAGCAGAAGTGTCCCAAAGTCAACAACAGTGTACTGCTTCACTCTGCCTCCCTGCCATCAGCCACCAGTACCTCATCACCTCCCACAACACCAGACTAGAAGATGGGAAACATTAATAGGAGGGTTAACTGTTGTAGCTCGGAATCTGGATCATAGATGGCTCCCAGGTTCATCACACAACTCAAATAGTAAATAGTATACAGCCTCACCTAACTACCCATCACACCCTCACCCAACTACCCCCACCCACATGGCTGAGTGGACAGTGCTCAGGAGCCATGATCCTAAGGGCCCAGTTTTGATTCCAGGCCAAGGCAGAAACAAATGGGCACCGTTTCTTTCACATGATGCATCTAGCAGTAAATGGGTATCGGGGAGTTAGACAGCTGCTATGGACTGCATTTGTGTATGTTATATTTCTAGCACATGCAGTCCATAGCAGCCCATTTGTTTCTGTCTAGGCCTGGAATCAAACCTAGGGCCTTCAGACTATGGCTCCCCAGGTGCTGTCCACTCTGCCACAAGGGTGGGTGGGTGGAGGTGCATTTACTATTTGAGGTGTTAGCTCTTGGACCCTGCCTTTCTGTCAGTTGTTTAATGTGCTGACTCCTGACCTGTTTTCCTCATATCATATCTACTACACAGAAATACATGTAGTGGATATGATAGGTCAGAAGATATGATATGTAGTGGATATGATAGGTCAGTCAGTACATGAGACAACCGACAGCAAGAAAGGCGGGGTCCAAGAGCTAACAGTTCACATGGTAAATATACCGCTCACCCAACTACCCCTCACCTTCCTGACCAAGTGATCAGTACTTGGGGGCGTGGTACTAATGGGCCAGGTTCAATTCCAGTATGAGGCAGAATCAGATGAGCAGAGTTTTCACCTGATGCACCTGTTCACCTAGAGTAAACACATGTCGGGGAGTAGAGAGCTGCTATGGATTGCATGTGTAAGTTATATTTCTAACACACGTTTGCAGTCCATAGCTGTTCTCTACTCCCCGACATGTGTTTACTCTAGGTGAACAGATGCATCAGGTGAAAACTCTGCTCATCTGATTCTGCCTCATACTGGAATTGAACCTGGCCCATTAGTACCACGCCCCCAAGTACTGATCACTTCGTCAGGAAGGTGAGGGGTAGTTGGGTGAGCGGTATATTTACCATGTGAACTGTTAGCTCTTGGACCCCGCCTTTCTTGCTGTCGGTTGTCTCATGTACTGACTGACCTATTTCTGACCTATCATATCCACTACATGTATTTCTGTGTAGTAGATATGATAAGAGGAAAACAGGTCAGGAGTCAGCACATTAAACAACTGACAGAAAGGCAGGGTCCAAGAGCTAACACCTCAAATAGTAAATGCACCTCCACCCACCCACCCTTGTGGCAGAGTGGACAGCACCTGGGGAGCCATAGTCTGAAGGCCCTAGGTTTGATTCCAGGCCTAGACAGAAACAAATGGGCTGCTATGGACTGCATGTGCTAGAAATATAACATGCAGTCCATAGCAGCTGTCTAACTCCCCGATACCCATTTACTGCTAGATGCATCATGTGAAAGAAACGGTGCCCGTTTGTTTCTGCCTTGGCTGGAATCGAACCCGGTCTCTTAGTATTGACCACTCAGTCGCAAAGGTGTTTGGGGTTCATTGGGTATTAGGACAGGTCAGAGACTGGGTACCCATAAGAAAAGGGAACATGGGTAGTTGGGGTAAGGGTGCGTGAAGGTACAATGTGGTAGTTGGACGAGGTTGTGATAGGGGAGTTGGGAGTGTGGGTGGTTTTCAGACTGTTTATGTATGTTCTACCTACAGTCTAACCATCAATAGAAAGTTGGGACATAGAATTACCTACACATATTTTTATGACTGAACATCCATACATTATGGAGAATTAGTTCATTAAAGCAACATTTGAAACATAATAAATTTTACGTTATGAAAATCAACAACTCGTTCAAAAGATTAAATATCAATGAAAGAACAAGTTAAAAATCAAAATGCACAGCTGATCCGGTAACTTACAAAAGAGCAGTTCATAATCTCCCGAGTTAGACTGAAGAAACTGGCTATCAGCGGACCAATCCAAGTGAGTCACAAAGCTTGAATGACCCTGGAAGTGAAAACAAATTATTAAAGTCTGTGTATCACTGAAGACAAATAAAGGATAATATAACTTCTGCATATTTTCTTCCTCATAACAAATTGGCAGTTTGACAACTTGGTATCATAGCATTAATCAGGCTTAGCCTCATCACAGGTTAGTGTGGCAATGTAACTGCCACCAGATAAGGCTCGTTTGTATATGTGTATTAAGATGAAAAATCAACAAAGAGGAGTGACCTGCTTACCACCGATGGTGCACTCTGGTACCTGGGCTTTCTTGTTTTAGCCTTAGTGGGCATGAAAATAAAATACTAGCTGAAATATGATATAAATTAATAATCATCCACACTACTGTGGAACTCAACTTTTCACTCACCTGGGCTCTAGGGACTCAAACAGCGGACCCCACGCATGCGAAGATAAGGCTTCGACCTCACACGCATGGGGTTCGCGGTTCGAGTATCCTAGAACCCAGGTGAACATAATTAATGATATATGTATATATATATATATATATATATATATATATATATATATATATATATATATATATATATATATATATATATATATATATATACAATCATAACTATGGCTCAAGAAACGCCTGCAGTAACCAGTTCCACATATTTTACCAGGTAGATCAGTAAGTGTAGTGTGTGTAATTGTTAATGGAGAGTGTATTCTTGGCTTCAAACAAACATATATAATCTTGTACAAATATTTAGACTACTTTTTTTTTTTTTTTAAATATACAACAAATGTGTTTTTGTAATGTGGTTAACTGCTGACAATTACTGTAATGGTTATAAACTTTACCTAAATTCACATTACCTCTCATTACCACATTTCCCACCTTCATGGGATAAAACAGCATCAGCCCCACACTATAATATGTACACATTTGGTCTTGACTTCAAAAATATGCAAGTGATTGACTTCTATACGTTTAAGATTAATACAACACTTCATATGACAAAGAATGACTTCAGTAGGTATAGAGTTTCCCCATGTCCCTAAAAACCTTGTAAGGTACAAGTTATTACCTGGCATCTGCCAATCCTTGTGTACTTGCGACAGTCTTCCGAGACCTGATAGACGTAGATATTGTTATCTCTGGACCCAACTGCTAGGTACTGCCCATTTGGCGAGAACTTTACAACCTGTGTGAAAATATTAAACTGTATAATGCATATAAACTCATAATAAATTAGCTATTTTCAATTAAATTGTACAAATCTAAAAACCACAAAATGCTTCAAATAAATATTGAAAAATTATGAAATCCATTGTCTATTCATTCAAAAAAATTTCAAAATATAAAACTTTGTTATGTATTATGGAAATTATTTCTAAATAAATCATCCGGCTCTCAGTTAAAGTAAGATCTGTATCCATAGGCCAAGGTAAGGTAACTATCAGGGGGAAAAGCGCCAAGCCATTACGACTATCTAGCACTGGGAAGATGGTTAGGATACGGATTTGGGATGGGACAGGGGGGTAAGGAATGGTGCCTAACCACTTGGACGGTCGGGGATTGAACGCCGACCTGCATGAAGCGAGACCGTCGCTCTACCGTCCTGCCCAAGTGGTTGGATCCATAGGCCAAAACAAAGCACACTGAGGCAGAAGAACATTCCAGCAGCAGCACCACAGACAACTTGTCAAGTCCCCCGTGCACTGCGCACCTGTTTTAGGCAAAAACTTCATAATGCAATTGTTAAGGACATATCTTTGTTGTTTTTATAAATGTTCAGGTAAAGTTAGTGTCAAAATGTTTCCAAACTCCATTTTAATTTCAAATCAGTGATGAAAACATTAAAATATAGCCTGATTAAAAATAAAATAGCACAACTTTCAGAGCACTTTAACCACTTAAATGTGCAGAGTGCCTTAATGTGCTAGCAAGTGACTAGAAAACAGTCAATTTAGTACCAGGATGAGTAACAAGACACTTCATAAAAACCAAAAGCCTTTCCAAACCCCTTCCCTTTGCATTGCAGAGAGAGAGCTCTGTTAACTACCAACTGCCCTGCTTGGCTACCCTGCTAAGAACACCCCGACTCTGCCTTTCTGACCCAAAACCAGCTCACATAATTCTTGATGACGATAAGAAAACCTGCACACGGGGAAACTAACCATAAGAAACAGGACAAGCAAGTAGCCATTAGATCAGGTCCCCATATCAACCTTTGTTACTCAAATCTTCCCACTACAGACCATGGGTCAACAGTTGGCTACTGCCAACTAGATTCACATCAGTGTCTCTGTAGTGGGAATGGAAAGAATGAAAGGAAGCATGCATGCTAGAACCCACAGTTGACTCAAACGTGTAACTTAAGCACCAGTAAGGAAGGCGAACATAAGATAATCAAACCACTACCACAAATGTAAAAAAATAGACAGGTGAAAGTAGTTTGCCCATTTTTGAATGTAAAAACTGTGCCTAGATTAAAAGTAAGCCAGTATTTGCAAGGCTGAAGCAATGGCCAGGTAGATTGAAAAGCTAAGTGGAAGTCTTACAAAATACACTATACAATGTCTAAAAGACAGTCCTCAGCTTTATCTTGTTAAAAGAAAGTTTGAGAAAAATGCAAACTGAAGGCACATCCCAATGGAATCGCTACTAAATGTCAGGGAGGGGATAGAGAAAGACAGATTGAAACTCACCACAAGAAAGGAAGATCCCATCCAGGGGCCAGATTCACGAAGCAGTTACGCAAGCACTTACGAACGTGTACATCTTTCCTCAAACTTTGACGGCTTTGGTTAAATTTATTAAACGGTTTACAAGCATGAAAACTTGCCAATCAAATGTTATTGTTATAAACAGCCTCCTGGTGCTTCGGAGCTCATTAACTGTTTAATAATTGTAAACAAAGCCGCCAAAGATTGAGAAAAGATGGACACGTTCGTAAGTGCTTGCATACTGCTTTGTGAATCTGGCCCCAGGAGAACTAGCCAGAACCAGACTACTGTCCAGCCCTGGAGCACCAATCAAGCTCCAATCAGTCTTACAATAACCTATAGTGCAGTGGGTTATTTTTACATTCAGCTCATAACTGATTGGACCCAAGTTTGATTTCCAGCCAAGGCAAGACTTTTTAGCACTTTTACGTACACCTGATGTCTTTTGTAACCTAGCAGTAAATAGGTATCTGAATCGGGTGACTGTTGTGGGTTGCATCCTGGGAAAGGTTTAGCCTATCAAGGTCCTCAAAGCACAATATGCATCATGGCCATGAGGAAACAAAATTGGTAATGAGGCCCTCAGTGGACAAGTCACAAAAGTTTATGAACTATTATGTACTATGTTGACCAGACCACACACTAGAAGGTGAAGGGACGACGACGTTTCGGTCCGTCCTGGACCATTCTCAAGCCGATTCTTGAGAATGGTCTCATCGCCTATTATGTACTACTGTACTGTTATGACCATGGTTACCATTACTGCTGCTATTACTATCATTGTTGCTATTACTATTATCCGAATTAACCCGAGGGTCACCATCTCGAGTGGCCTTGACAGGGACAAGAAGCCGGCAGCTTATCTAAGGTTTCCCCCATTGTTTCAAAGGATATTTTTTATCTGGATTTTGAACTGAAGTAATGTCTTGCCATTTACAGCTTCATCAGGTAGGCAATTTCATGAGTTTATATCTATAAGGGTGAAAAAGCATTGCCAGTTTTCTGTCCTACAATGTGGCTTGTTGAGATTAAAGCCGTTGCACCTTGTATGCATTACATTTGACCTTTTAAAGAAGTCTGGATTATTACCCTCCAACTAGATGACCAAACCATACATCAGAAGATGGAGAAATGATGATGTTTCAGTCTGTCCTGGACCATTATTAAGTCGTATGTGATACAAGTCCACATACGACTTGATATTGATCCAGGATAGACCGAAACATCGTCATTTCTCCATCTGATGTGTGGTTTGGTCGTCATATCTTCAGCCACGTTATTGTGACCCATCATCTGCATCTTCCAACTTGTTCAATATTTTAAAGGTCTCTGAGATCAGCTGTCTCATGTCTAGTTTGCAGTATTGTTAGACCCGTGGCCCTCAATGGTTACTACAGCTCTCACTTGTGTAACTTTCTAGGAACTGGTGGTTCCTAGGTCCTTTTCTTCATCAATGTTTTTCCCATGCTATACAACAGCATGTGGTCATGGGTTCGATCCCGGGCGCCGGCGAGAAACAATGGGCAGAGTTTTTTTCACCCTATGCCCCTGTTACCTAGCAGTAAAATAGGTACCTGGGTGTTAGTCAGCTGTCACGGGCTGCTTCCTGGGGGTGGAGGCCTGGGCGAGGACCGGGCCGCGGGGACACTAAAGCCCCACAATCATCTCAAGATAACCTCAAGCATGGAAAAATATATATACAATTGTATTTGGACTTGATTATATAATTGTATATGGAACTGAATATACAACTATTAGGTCTTACCTGGATAGGTTCATTTCCATCCTGATGCTGGGAGTACATTTCCCTAGTCTCGGCATCCATGACGAACCATCGTCCACTTGTTGTACCAATTATTACAATCTCGCCATTGTTCGAGAAAGCAGCGGATTGGGCAGGTTCCTTTTATGTGAATTTAAAATAATTAAGCAAATTTAATTTCAATTAATAAATGTATATTAAATGTGCTTGTACATATATCCTTAGAAAAATCTAGAATTAGAGCAGAAAAAATAGACAACCTGAGAAGCATGTGTGGAGTTCAAAGAAATAGAATGTTATGGAAAGATGTGAAGTGCAAAAGTCGGTAAATCACAAGATTAAGGAGCGTATTGAGATGGATTGGTCGTGTAAAATGATGGTATGGATGATGACAGACTGATGAAGAGTGAATTACAGTGACTTTCATGGTAGGAGAGTGATAGATGAGGCAGTCATGGTGAGTAAGAGAATGGAAGTGAGGAGAGTGAACAGTACACAAGATATGGTACGGAACAAGGTAAAGTGACAGCAATGTATCAGAAGCAAGTGTTTTGTTTGTACTGCATATACACAAGGAGAACTGTATGCCTAGTCTTTTAAAGTGCCAAGATGTTGCTCTTGAGAATTTGCTGGAGTGTGGTGATATTGACTTTTTTGTAATTCATTATTCTATGTAAGATATGGTGAATGGATGAATAATTTTGTAATATCTTTAGAATGCTTTTCCTTTGTTGATTCTCGTTTTCTTCAAGCCGATGCTTCTCCACACTATTTTTTTTGAGATATATACAAGAGTTGTTACATTGTTGTAGAGTCTTAGGGGGCCTCGTAGCCTGGTGGATAGCGCGCAGGACTCGTAATTCTGTGGCGCGGGTTCGATTCCCGCACGAGGCAGAAACAAATGGGCAAAGTTTCTTTCACCCTGAATGCCCCTGTTACCTAGCAGTAAATAGGTACCTGGGAGTTAGTCAGCTGTCACGGGCTGCTTCCTGGGGGTGGAGGCCTGGTCGAGGACCGGGCCGCGGGGACACTAAAGCCCCGAAATCATCTCAAGATAACCTCAAGAAGATAGCCACTAGTACGCGTAGCGTTTCGGGCAAGTCCTTAATCCTATGGTCCCTGGAATACGATCCCCTGCCGCGAAGAATCGTTAAACTGAAGGTATTATACTGAAGGTATTCATAGTTAAACTATGAAACTGAAGGTATTATACTGATGATAATGGAGATGAAATTGACCTACCAGACGTGCAACAGTAGAGGTAAACTCGGTATCTTTTACTCAAATACAGTACCAACAAAATAGTCAATTCATGTACAGTGTGCTGAAGACTAAGGTTTCAATGTTCAGAGTATAAAGATAAAATTTACAAACCAAGGTTTAGAGTTTCCTCATTCTCACATTGATGGCAAAGTATGTATATATGACACATCATGTATATATTGACACACAAATCATCATCATTTACTCAATGACGAAGAAAGATTAAGTATCCATATTCTGGAACCTAAGCTTTCATTGTCCACACACACAAATTACAGTACTTCGTATACCTATCAATATTAAAATTGTGTAGCGGGTGAAATTGGTTAAGCAAAACTTTTCACATCATAGATGATGTGAAAAAACATTACTTCATATTAATGCAAAGACACTTTGTAAGCTATGCACTTAAGTACGTATTGAGATACAGGTATAATAGAATTAAGTTTTACTATTACTGATACAACTTCTAAAGTTAAACAATTAATTATAAACTCACTCACTTTGTAAAACAAAATGCTAGCTAAAGTGTATAACAAAATATGTAATTTGTGAAGACACATTTGAACATTTAAATATAAACATATCAAAAATAAACTTTGGCATACTTGAAATATGAAGATTGACTTACACCAATATCCTTGCTCCAGACAATGGTATGTGCCATAGTGTCCCACAAGTAGCACGTGCGATCATAACCGGCAGTCAAAAATTGGTGGTGACCCGGGTGTGGAGCCAGGGCCCACAGCTCCTCCGTATGACCCTGTAACATGTGCTCACGATTACAGATGTTATTTGAAGAGAAAGGCAAACAAACATCAGAATTACATCTATAAAGTAATGCTGTATTTAGAGACATTAGCCCTATTGATGAGGCTATTAAAAAAGAAAGAAAAAAAAGACAGTCAATATGAGAAGATCACTTGCATATGACGAGTCACAATAACGTGGCTAAAACATGTTGACCAGACCACACGCTAAAAATTAAAGAGGCAACAACATTTCGGTCCGTCCTGGACCATTATCGAGTCGATAGTCAACTTTATACTCCCTTGGCTACCTTTAGGTAAGATTCTGTTACAGATGCCAGATATCATACTTGTTTAATATCAAATACTGTACCTTTAGACTTTAGCAAATTAATTTATTTTTTTAAATCATTTAAAAAAAGTTTTATTTTTTTCCTATTTACTTACCCTGTCCCATCCCAAATCCTTATTCTGACCCCTTCCAAGTGCTATATAGTCGTAATGGCTTGGCGCTTTCCTCCTGATAGTTCCCTTTCCTTCCTATTTACTCTAAATGGTATAGAGATGCATTTGCTCACCTGCATAACAGGTCGCATTGGGAAAGTGAATGTTCCTTCCAATACACAGTTACGAGTGGTGCCCACCACCAGTTGTGTTCCCCGACCTGACGTCACCACACGAGGTGACCCAAACTGTTCTGGAATCTGAAAATATTAAAAGGTGGGCTGTAAGTAATTCTCACTCTTAATGTCAACAAGCTACCACATAAACTTGTACCCTGAATATAAGCTATTCATCCCCTTTCTCATAAACACCACCAAAACTTACCTCAATAGTATTGCCTGTGCGTTCTAACTCCCTGTCCCACTCGACAATCTGGCCATCTTTCCCTCCTGTGATGATGGCGCCATCCTTCTGTACCAAGATGGAAAACACTGGTCCGTCATGGGCACCACGTACCATCTTGTACACTGTGTTGCCTCCTATGGGAAGAGAGAACAATAACAAAACCCATAAATGAACTTTTCCATACTAAAAAAAAAGTGTTGAGCATAATGAAATGCTCCTTTTCGAGTGGGACTCTCAAATACTCCCATAGCCTTTATGGCCATTCAGGACTCCTAAGACCATCAGGATCTCATGGGTTTTTGACCCATCTTGACAGGCACCTTTGCAAGTTGTCCTGTTAAGTATTTAGGTAAATATACTGAATAAATAGTATCAGAATAGTATGTTGACCAGACCACACATCAGAAGATGAGGAGACGACGATGTTTTAGTCCACCCTGGACCATTATCAAGTCGATTGTGATGTTGGCAATCGACGTGATAAATGGTCCAGGACGGAACAGAATGTTGTCGTCTCCTCATCTTCTGGTGTGGGGTCTGGTCATCGTATCTTCAGCCACATTATTGTGACTCATTGTCTGCATATCAGAATAGTATGCAAATACAGATCAGATGCAAAATATAATTGTCTGTGTATTAACACTTGCTAATCAAGTTTAGACATCAAAACAATATATTGAGTGGACACTCATCAGTAGATATGAAAAAGAAAATGTAAATGCAATATGAAACAAATCCAACCTCTTTGCCATATTAGAAGATTGCCATTTGAGTCGCCAGAAATGACATTGCCAGCATCAGTGAAGGATATAGATGTGACATATTTGGGGCGCTCACGATTCTCAAAGATTCCCATACGTTTGGCTAGCATCCCACTGTCATAACTCCAGAAGGAAATATGGTTCTTCCCACAGGTGATGATGGTGCTGCGATCAACAGGAGAGAAGTCTACGGCCAGTACTTGGTCAGCTGAGCACTGTTGAAATAAGAGTTAGTTCATGAGTCACAATAACGTGGCTAAAGTAATTTGACCAGACCACACACTAGAAGGTGAAGGGACGACGACGTTTTGGTCTGTCCTGGACCATTTTCAAGTCGATTGTGAGACAATCAACTTGAGAATGGTCCAGGACGGACCGAAACGTCGTCGTCCCTTCACCTTCTAGTGTGTGGTCTGGTCAAAGAGTTAGTTCATTTATCATGTATCCCATACCCTTCTGTGGGCAGTACTGGAAAAATTAAGACAATGGGTTAAAGAACTGAATCCCAAAATTCATTTACCTAAGCAAGTTACAGTCTTGATAAGTTAATTTCACATTTCAGTGAATGATTATATCAACACTGGGTTCAAGAATGACCACAAATACAATCAAAATAAGAAATTATCAAATACTGGTATAGGGACGTTAAATCTTGTGGATTATGATTACAAAAACAGTGGCTACCAGTAAACGAGTCCACGGAGACATTGTGTCTACCAAGCCTTAATTAATGACCTGTTCACCTACCATGACCGGTAATATTGCAAATAGTCTGGTCATACAACTGAGAGACCTACTTGATATCATACAAAAAAGTCACCGTGGCGCAGTGGTAAAGCACTCTCCCTGCGCTTCGGCCTGGGTTAGTATCCTGGCCGGGGAGGATTGACTGGGTGCTAATCCTTAACTGTAGATTACATCATTTAACTGTAGATTAAAATCATTTAACAAATCATGTTTGTTAAATGATTTGACGAAATGTATTTCGGGGAAAATTAGGATTAAGGACTTTCCCAAAATGCCATGCATGCTAGTGGCTTTACAAAAATGTAAAAACTCTTGTATAAGAAAAGCAAAAAAAAATAAAAAGTTCAACAAACCCTCTCCAAAGAAAATTTTAAATAAAAAATAGCAATGAATAAAAAGATGCCTCTTTCTGGTAGAGCATTGGTGGCTCAATGAAGACGTCTCACCAAGATGGTTCTCTGTACTGAAGGGGATGCACTCCCAGTCTAACAAATCAAGCATCCAAATCAAACCAAAGGCCCTTTCTGGAAGCCAACCATCTCAATCTTTGCCAGAAAAGAATGTTGTAAATGATGAAACTTCCCCCTCACCTACCCAGGGCTGAAAGAACAGAACCCTTGCTACTCAAGGAAAGCAAGGAGCTTTCCCAACCAACAACCAGAGGCGAGAGCCAACAAAAAGAGCCGTAAGAAAACATATTCCAAAGTGCAGGGACATCCAAGAGCCAAGGGGGACAAAACTTCCAGCACCCTATTGGCTCATCCAGAAAGCTAAATTACCTCTAACTACTGCCTGGGCAGTCAGCTGCTATACCAACCACTGCTATACCAACCGCTGCTATACCAACCGCTGCTAGATACCAGCACCACCACATTTGTAGCCCAAGTTACCCAAGCATACTCGAGAAGTTGGTACAAAAATGGTTGGAACAGGAGTAACCAAGAAACTGGCTCAGAGGGGAGCTTTTTATTTCACTTAATGCCCTATTTCTGAGTCAAGACTCTAGGTTGCTTCCTTGAGCCAACTCTAATGAAAGAAAAACATAAAAATAAAAGCAAAGGAGACGGAGAACTTATCCGAGCAGACAGAAGAGAAGAAGAGACATGGAGTGGAAAGATGAACAAGAGGTTAATGCCCACATCCCCAAGGATTGTGGGCATTGACTCAAGAAAGATCCAGGCTCACACTCTACTTTATGAAGCCCCACTTTGTGACTAAAGAACTGTAACTGCATCAAAAGAGAATGAGTCACACAAATTATACACTTATCCAACATCTGAAGGAAAATACAGAGGAGCAGAGAAGACTGATGCTTGAGGCTTGTGGAATCAAGGGCGGGCAGACTATACCAACCCCAAGAGAGACTCAGACACCACTGATCAAGCCAGAAATACCAGACAAAATTCTGGCAAAATACATGAAGACATACCTCCACCATACCATCACTGGGGCCGACCACAAAAGGGTACATGAAAAAGACCAAGAGCTGCCTTTGGGCGACTTCCTAAGAAGAGATGGCACCTGCTTCCTTGAGGTTATCTTGAGATGATTTCGGGGTTTTAGTGTCCCCGCGGCCCGGTCCTCGACCAGGCCTCCATCCCCAGGAAGCAGCCCGTGACAGCTGACTAACACCCAGGTACCTATTTTACTGTTAGGTAACAGGGGCATAGGGTGAAAGAAACTCTGCCCATTGTTTCTCGCCGGCGCCCGGGATCAAACCCGGGACCACAGGATCACAAGTCCAGTGTGCTGTCCGCTCGGCCGACCGGCTCCCAGTTCCTTGCTTGCCCAAGGAACCTGCGCATCAGAAACCCTAGTTCAAGCACAAGGCCAAAACGCAATCTTGAACTGACCTATTTCAATCATTGGCAGAAACTCGATGCTTAAGCTGGAACGCCTGTACCTATGAGCGAAAAGGAGGACTAGGCATGCACTTGGATAGTAGACTGTCACCAGAGGAACACACAAAGAACATTGTGTGAGGTGCATATGCATCGCTCTCCAACTTCAGAATCGCTTTTCATTACATAGATGGTTAAATACTGAAGAAACTGTTCATGACTTTTGTCAGACCAAAATTGGAATATGCAGAAGTTGTATGGTGCCCATATCTCAACAAGCACATCAATAAACTGGTAAAAGGTGCAAAGACATTCTACAAAATGGCTTATGGAGCTGAAAAACAAGTTACGAAATGAGGCTAGAAGCTTTAAATATGCCAAAGAAGAGAGAGAGATAGAGAGAGGTGATATGATCACCACTTACAAAACAATAAAATAAATCAACCAAATTGACAAATTCCTGAAATCAGCAACTTCACAAACAAGATGACACAGATACAAGCTAAGGAAACAAAGGTGACAAAAATTTTTGTTAGAAAGTTTTCATTTGCAAACAGAGTGGTAGACTGTTTGAACAAGGTAAGTGAGAAGGTGGTGGAGGCCAAGACCGTCAGTAGCTTCAAAGCGTTATATGACAATACAGTGAAGACGGGACACCACGAGTATACCTCTCATCCTGTAACTACACGTAGGTAATTACCAGCACCTCCCACCTCTTCACGAGATGTGGAAGGATGGAAATCAGAAAGGAAATCATTAACAAGGATGGAAATCAAAAGAAACCATTCAAACAAGCTCCAAAACAAACAAAAAAAAGTATCTTAAAACCTCATATGTGCAGTTAAGACATGTCATAAAGAAGTTTATAGTTACATAACCCCAGGACTGGAATGAGCAACTTATGGAAAGCTTGAACTACTGAAACTGTAGAGGAAAAGGCAGGTAGAGATCGAATCGGCTACCTTAGCAAACTCCACCTGAAACTGGGAGGAAAAGAACCAGCATGCCACCAGCTCAAGAACATCCGGGAAGGTTTTGCACATCTTCAAATATCTGCTGCATCAAGGACGAAAGCTGGATGTGCATCTAGGGCTGAATTATCAAACAGACTATGAATATGCCCAAGGTACCAGCAAAGCAGGGGCACCAAAAAATCCAGCATTAAATGTAATGAAACGCCTCTTTATGGTGAATCCCTACATACATTCCCCGAGTCACCCTACCAGGAAGCTTCCAACTTCCAATCCAAGGAGCCGAGCGGACAGCACACTGGACTTGTTATCCTGGGGTCCTGGGTTCGATCCCGGGTGCCGGCGAGAAACAATAGGCAGCGTTTCTTTCACCCTATGCCCCTGTTACCTAGCAGTAAAATAGATACCTGGGTGTTAGTCAGCTGTCACGGGCAGCTTCCTGGGGATGGAGGCCTGGTCGAGGACTGGGCCGCGGGGACACTAAAGCCCCGAAATCATCTCAAGATAACCTAACTTACGAGTGTCTACCAGTGACCAGGACCAGAATCTGGCCCCCCCCCTCCCCCTTTCAATAGAAGCAAAGGGAGAACCTAGGGGATCCCTGATCATCACACTACAGAAAGAAACTCCACAAGAAAGACAAGAGTGCTCCCAAATAAGCAACTGCATGGGGCAACACTTGTGACATGTTAGATGGTAAGAGACACTTGCCACGGGGGGAGGGTTCTGTCATCTGTGTTTACCTGTGTTACGAACCCAAGTCCATCGTCAGAACCCGGTTGCGACCCATTGTGGCCGTAACAACCTGTGATAGGTAAGCGCAGATGACAGACCTGGAGACCCCCATCTAGCCAACCCAGTCATTCATGCCCAGCTCTCACCACTTCTAAACACCATGGCAAGAAGGGCATGGGTGAGAATAGGGAGCTACTGAGGGGCCAGCAGAAAGAGCTTTGATTATATTCAACACAAGATTTCTGGGAAGGTCTTCTCGGTAACTTCTCAAGCTGTCTCGCCACTGGGCCTGAAAGAGCCGATAACCAGAAAAGAATGACCTATGTTGGCCACGACTTACCATGCGGAAAAGGAGAGAACCCACAAAAATGTAAGCAAGGAATTTTAAACTTACAAATTCCAGTATTACATAGTACAGAAAAAGATATATGCAGTTAACCCCACCCACCAAGCAACAGGTAATACCTTTAATTCTTTCGTTTCTTTTAAAGTCAAATTTCTCCTAAAATGATACCGTTTGAGAACGCACCTTAGTTTCGAGTAGTTTGTAGCCGCGTTCTCCCCGAGACCAGTCCCAGACAGACATGTTGTGATCTGGAGCTTCGTCTACAGCCACCAACAGACTTCCTCCATCCTGGAAAAAACACACAAACATTTTATCTACCTCAACTTTACTTTGTCTTATGTCTATTTGTTAACCTATATTTTTTATTCCTCTTTTCCTCAGTCCTATCCTATATTGTGGTTGGTGCTCTGGTCAACCAGACTGTTGAACAATGGTGATTGCAGCCTGACATATAAATCACAGCCTGAAGTATACTGTGGAGATGTTTTTTTAGTTCTATTTTGAATGCCATGAGAGGTTAGCCAGTTATTTTTCTTATGTTAAGAGGTAGCGTATTGGAAAGTCTTTGCCTTTAGGGCAAAGGGTCTTTGGTCTTTGTCTTTGCTGCCGAGTTCTCTCTCAGCATACCTATTGCACCTCTTTTTTAACGGGGGCTATTTTGCACTTCCTGCCATGCCTTCCTGTATCATTTGGTGTTATTTTCATATGTGGATTTGAAACCAGCCCTCCTAGTATTTTCCAAGTGTAAATTATTATGTATCCCACCTGCACTCTAGGGAATACAGATTTAAACATTTTAAGCAGTCCCAATAATTTAGATATTTAATTGAGTGAATTCTAGCAGTAAGAGAGCTTTGCACGTTCTCAAGGTCAGCAGTTTCTCCAGCTCTGAATGGGGCTGATAGTGTGCAACAATATTCCAGTGCTCTCTAGTGAAAAGTCTCATCACTGGTATGGCATTTCTTGTTTGAAATGTTCTTATTATCCAACCTGTTATCTACTTGCAAATGTAACAGCTACTATATTTTTTTAGTTAAAGTAATGGCACAGTTGCATTGAGGTTAACTACGGCATATATATACAGTACTGTGCATAGATAGATATAACCCGAAAATCACAGCATTTCTGCCCAAAACGCAGTGTGTACTGCGTACTAGTGACTTTATGAGAATGTAAACACATCATGCTATGTACTCTCATAAACCCAATGTAACTTCTTGAATATATATAAATAAATAAATAAAATATAGAGATAGATATATATACATATACATATATATATTAAACATACATACATAGGTGTCTATATTTAACACATTTACTTACTGCTTTGGAGAAGGCCAGACAGGCTACAGAGCGCTCAATGTCACTGATTCCAATAATATGAAGGGTGTTGAGACTCACGCTGTCCCAGATGCGCACGTGCGGCTGTGGTGTGAAAAGTCGCATGATGATAACTTTACAGTGATTAACAACATAGACAGCTGCAATACATGTGTTGCAACCACTATCAAAATGTCTATTATTCACTATACAGTTTGTTATATGAGCTCTTAAGATATGCAAAATAAATCATTAAGACTATTTTCTCTCAAAAATATAGAATCATTTTATCATGTCTATAAAGTTATATTAAATCTTTACATAGAAAGACCTCAATTATAATTTACACAATATATTTGTCTAAAATCATCACTATGTACCCCTGAAAACTGAAATAACAACAGAACAGAACATAACAATTTGAAATGGATTAATATGCAGCTAGGTTTATATGCATTCCAATTAGCATGTCAGTGAAGATGCTTTAAACTATTATTAAATATAAAGGTTTAACTAAAACAAAGAAACATCTTGAAGCAACAAGGCAGCATAAAATTAGAAGAAAATAATACACCACAGGATTTCCCGCTCCCAAAAGAAGCGTTTCTAAACCAAATGAGGTTCTATAATAAGGGAACTCTCAACACTCAAACTAAAGAGATCACAACACACAAAAACAAAGTAGTCATAACCCTGAGAGAACACACACATAAATTACTACTGTACTTGTAATTGTTCATGTTCTTGGTTAGGGCACTCAATTGTCTATTTAACTGGTTTGGGCTCTCAATTGTCTATTTAACTGGTTTGGGCTCTCAATTGTCTATTTAACTGGTTTGGGCTCTCAATTGTCTATTTAACTGGTTTGGGCTCTCAATTGTCTATTTAACTGGTTTGGGCTCTCAATTGTCTATTTAACTGGTTTGGGCTCTCAATTGTCTATTTAACTGGTTTGGGCTCTCAATTGTCTATTTAACTGGTTTGGGCTCTCAATTGTCTATGTAAAAACGACTTATCATAGATGTACAAATTTGGTACACGGTTTAAATAATTTATTCTTCAAATGCATCATATCTGATTCTCTTACAACTACAGTACTGTAGTCTTTTGTAAAAAAGTTGTGAAGCAGAGTAAGAATTACCAGAAAAACTTTTCTTTTACTGTACTTAATCATCATATTGCAAAATAAATATTTGATCATTCAAAATAACACTTTATAGCTTTACTTTGAGTTGTTCCATAGACATGCGAAATCAACAATTACAGTAATATTCTATTTGGACAATACCTCCAAACATGTTTGCTTCTATTTGTAATTAAACCAAAATATTAATTTTTATAAAGAATTAGCTCTTTATATCGTGTCATCCTGTGTTACACTAAATATGTTATCCAATACTGTATATGAAGCCTCATTGTCCACTCAAAACAGTTAAATCAGTAAACAATATAAACAAGACATATTTTCAAGGGTACATCATCTTTAACAGATATAGTGGTACCCCCCAATTATTTGGAGCCCCATTTTCTTGGGGCCAGATTCACGAAGCAGTTACGCAAGTACTTACGAACGTGTACATCTTTCCTCAATCTTTGACACTTTGTTTACATTTATTAAACAGTTTACAAGCATGAAAACTTGCGAATCAACTGTTGTTATTGTTATAAACAGCCTCCTGGTGCTTCGGAGCTCATTAACTGTTTAATAATTGTAAACAAAGCCGCCAAAGATTGAGAGAAGATGTGCAGGTTCGTAAGTGCTTGCGCAACTACTTCGTGAATCTGGCCCCAGATTCTCAAATTATCCAGCCATAAAAAAATGTCCAGTTCTCCATCCTCATTAATTGGGATGTGAGGTGCAGCCCAGAAAATAAATATTCTCTGCTAACCAAACCAAGTAATTCTATACACACCACCTTACCACAAATAAAGTAAGATTTGGATGGTAACAAAATGTTTTATTAAGGCAAGTATCCATAAATAACACGGGGAAAAAGCTCTCCTTCATTCAGATTGCAGTGGGGTGATCCATTGCCTCAACAAGGGAGGATTTGCTTCAATCCCTTACCCCTATGCCGCTGGACTGATGATGGCTTTTGACTTCTCTGGGTTTAATCCTCGGTGCACTTCACATTATTGGCATGTCTAATATTCTTGTGGAAGGTCTCTCCCTTAAGTTTGATCTTTACAATGGTTGGTGGATGGGGACCTACTTTTTCTGTTCTCTAGATTTGCAAGATATTCGGTCATCTACAAGGATTTGGAGGGTACCAATATCCACGGCACCATTTCTGGGCCGGCCGGAAGGGTTTTGAGATTGACACATTTTGCCTGGACTGGTGTCATTGGTCTTAGTTGTACCTGGCACCTCTGATACAGCTGCTTCTTCCTGAGTTAGCCAGGTTGCAAACCTGTGCGGGCTACCTCCTCCTCCTTCTGGCTCCTATGTGGCTGGTTCAGCCCTGGTTCTTAACCTTCATGGTTTGTTGTCCCAGCTACTTCCCTTACCATGGCTCTGCCTCTCCCAGAAGATTAGTAGCATGACCTATGCTGCTAAGATACAGTATTGTTGTAATGGAGATTTTTTACACCAAACTTGACCCCTTAAGCCTCATTATAAATACAAGTTTATTATCTGAAGATGTTTACACCATAGCAATGAAAGGCTTCTGTTCCTGTTTTGTTTTGTGTCCGTCTGAACAACAGACCACATAGTTTACCCGAGTTTTCCCGAGGGCCACTAATACTAGTGGCCTCGACGAGGACAGGAAATTGGCGGCTTGTCAATTCACCCCCCCCCCCCATTTGCCCTGATGATCTTTTCTAGTTATATTTTAAAACCCAGCAGTTTTGGCGTTAACGGCCAAAACTCTTCACAACATGTGACGACCACAAGCATCACTCACTCATCACATACACCAGCCTGGCCAAAACTGAATGATATATTGACCAGACCACACACTAGTAGGTGAAGGGACGAAGACGTTTCGGTCCGTCCTGAACCATTCTCAATCGACTTGAGAATGGTCCAGGACGGACCAAAACGTCGTCGTCCCTTCACCTTCTAGTGTGTGGTCTGGTCAACATACTTTAGCCACGTTATTCTGACTCATCGCCTAAATGATATAACTATAACTCTAGGAATGACCTAAAAATCTCGCTAATAAAAGACAAAATTTATACAGCATAATGTGTTTGATGCAGAAACATCTAAGTACAGTCCACAAAATGTTACTAGCCTCTACACCGTCTAGGTGAGATAATGGAGAGTGGCTTAACATAAACACAAGAGCATGCACAAGACAATCATAACCCGCCAAACACACACCGAAACTATGACGTTGGTACAACGTTCGAACAAGTTTTAACACCTCCTAACTAGTTATAACAACCAATATAGCAAGTTGTAACAACGTTCTAATACGTCATAAACACGTTAAGCCAAGATGTAACAACTTTATTACAAGTTGTAACAAGCGGAAAATAGAGACAGTTTCGGTTTGTGTTTCCAGGGAAATAACTCAAAATGGGTGGAAGTGGTAATGCGGCTAATAATTAATTAAATTACCGCTAGCATCCTTATCTAGGGACGGCAAAGTGAAAACAGAAGAGCGTTAATAAACAGCGTATTTAATTTCTAAAATCATCCATAGAGTATTGCTTATTTTATGCTTTTACAAAATACTGTACATTGTTTTATACATCATAACATATCATTCATTTATGCAATATCAATGCAATAACATTTTGTGTTAATGAGTTTATCCTTTTGTTTTGCAAGATGCCATGCAGAGTGAGTGTGGAGTCATCTTCAGAAAAAATAATTCATCTTCATAACACTTTTACTAGTGATCAGTGACAACTTTCAAGTCAAAATATCATCTCTAATATATGTAATGACTCGATATTTATCAGGGATACTGATAACACAATAAACAAAAAAAGATGAATTTTTTTCCAATTATAAACTCGTATTTATTGGATTCAACAGAAGTAATGAGGTTTTATTGTGGTGATCGTGTCATGTATAGCAAGGGATGGCGAGACTGCTTCGACAAACACAAACAAAGAGATGTGTTGATTAATGTACTTGTATATAACTACAATTACTGTAATACACTATAGGTCTAGTAAAGATTTTCAAGTGCTATTTTCATTTCTAAAGTATTGTTATTGTTAAATTTACTCGTTAAGTTTTCAGACACTAGTCTGCTCAGATATAAATATATATAAATTTGTATTTATATAGTACTGTATATTTAGTAGTGTGGACATGTCAAATGTAGAATCGTATGTTAAATTATATCAAGTGCATTAAACTCGCAAGACACTGAGGAGCAGGTAATTACACATGTAGAGAAAATAACCTCATTAGATCTTCATTTTCTAGAAGTAAACAGATGACTACACGCTAAGTCCATCTAATGTTAGATGCTATGCACTAGGGGCCAGATTCACAGAGCAGTTACGCAAGTACTTGCGAACGTGTACATCTTTCCTCAATTTTAGACGGCTTTGGTTACATTTATTAAACAGTTTACAGGCATGAACACCTCTAAATCAACTGTTGTTATTGTTATAAACAGCCTCCTGGTGCTTTGGAGCTCATTAACTGTTTAATAATTGTAAACAAAGCCACCAAAGATTGAGAAAAGATGTACAGGTTCGTAAGTGCTTGCGTAACTGCTTTGTGAATCTGGCCCTAGGACTCGGTAAGATCACATTGTTTACAGCTACATAATAATATCAGAGGAAGTAGCATCAATTAGTCACTCGTGACATTAGTGCCAAACACTGCAATAACGTAGCCAGCAAGCAGCAGTGAAAGATGTGAGCGGAGGCGACGGTGCTGTTAGGTCGCCACATTAATATATATATCGCAGAAAACTCGCTAAAGTTGGTGTTATTGTGTATGATGACACTGCATATCTCATGCCTTTATGCAAATGCCATCATATATAAAACATCAACTTCATAAGTAAACCAAAACATATTCCACACAAGCATAATGATTTTCTAATTCTGTTCTTTTAGTAAACTTCCTCACAAATACAATACTGTATGCTAAATTATAACATGTACCATACAATAATTTACCTCATACTGTATTCAGACACCTCAAGAGCCTCACAGCAGAAATAAATCTAAACAAATGGTCAACTCTCCACTAATATCCATGTAAAATGAGAATAGCTAATTTGTTTATGGAACTCATCGAGATAAAACCCAGCACTGAATGTAATGAAATGCTACTGGAGGGCTCTTTAGGGATTAGCTTGTGATCTGAGTAACATGTATTTGTAATCATCATGTCCCTAACCAGCTCGTCATTGTTTGTAAACATAAGGTCTGGGGAGTTTTCTTTTTTAGTCGGTTCTGTTATTTGCTGGTGTCAAGCAACACTCACACATATCGGCAAGAGGTCATTTGTGAGTGACTTCATTTAGACTGATTCCTGGGATTCTCTAAGGTGTAACTGTATTTGCCACATTCTTCCATTTTAGGTGCCATTTCATCTCTCTTCAGCATTTGTCTACTGAATTGGATGCCATTGTGATGCCTTTCCTTTCCTAGCTCTTCCCTATGTGGGTTTCAGATGGACTGGTGCACTTCTTTAGACTTGGCTACTCCAGAGCACAAGGAGTTAATCTCGGTGGAGGACAAAGTTTGGCTCAGTGGAGGACAAAGTTTGGCTCAGTGGAGGATAAAGTTTGGCTCAGTGGAGGACAAAGTTTGGCTCAGTGGAGGATAAAGTTTGGCGCGATGGAGGACAAAGTTTGGCTCAGTGGAGGATAAAGTTTGGCTCGATGGAGGACAAAGTTTGGCGCAGTGGAGGTAACAGTATTATTCTGAGACTGGATATTGAACCATATCCTACAAAATTGTATAGAAATCTTAATTAAACTTTTTAGTAAATAGTAGTCTTAAAATGTAACAAATTATCAGGTGCTGTAAACAAAATATTAATGAGTCATGCAGCACAGTAATTAGTGCAGTCAGCTCACAATCAAAAGGTTCGGGATAGATTCCTGCACAAGACAAAGATGTTTGGCCATATTTCCCTTTTGCAGGATGCATCTGTCCCCCCAGCAGTACGTAGATATGCAAGAGCTGGGCAACTATTGCAGATTGCATCCTGAGAAAGGTCAGTCATTGGCTTAGGGAGACCATAATAAACCTAGTAGGTTTCCTGTCCCAGACAATGTATAACTAATAATTATGCTTCATGTGGAACATGGCTTCGAATTTACTTCCTAGACTGCTGTTGTGGAGGACATCTACGTACCCACTCCTCGGCCTCCGGGCTCAAGTGGTCTGCTGGAGGGTTGAGCCGCCAGGACTGCTCACCAGCGACGTCACAAGGGACAGACAGTTATTGGAAAAATTGTGCCAATGAAGATATTATCTAAATACAAGTAGGAATTGTCAGCAACCTCAGAACTGAAGGAGCAGGGCTTGTCTTCAAGTACACTCATTGTAAATCTCATTCTCAAGGAATTCACAACAAGAACCATATGAAATACAGTATTGTATCAATCTCACTACTGTAAATTTAGTATGCAATAAAACCAGCTCTGAATGTAATGAAATGCCACTTTCTGGGTGAGCCCCAGAGGCTCCTTGAAGCTATTCAAGCTGATATGTGGCTCAGTTTGGGGTCATCAGTCACAGGAGTTCTTATGCCTACCAGGAACCACAAGCCAGAACATGGCCCCCTCAGAGAGGCGCAGGGAACAATGGCATATGGGCACTTTACATTTAAAGCATTTCATAATTGTCATCGACCGGGGAAGGACCCAGAAAGGTAGGCGAATTAAAACAGATCACTGTCTGGTTAACCTTGCAATCTACATCCAAAAAGATCAAAATAACTCCTAGAAGAAAACTAAACAAGCAATCATTCATGCAATTAGCACTTCCGCTTGTTAGCGTTACCTGAGGGAACAGCCCTCTTTTTTAACTGTTCTCTCTGACCAAGCATCTCCTGGCTGTTCCCCTCTGACTAAGCATCTCCTGGCTGTTCCCCGCTGACTAAGCATCTCCTGGCTGTTCCCCGCTGACTAAGCATCTCCTGGCTGTTCCCCTCTGACTAAGCATCTCCTGGCTGTTCCCCTCTGGCCAAGCATCTCCTGGCTGTTTCCCTCTGACTAAGCATCTCCTGGCTGTTCCCCGCTGACTAAGCATCTCCTGGCTGTTCCCCGCTGACCAAGCATCTCCTGGCTGTTCCCCTCTGACTAAGCATCTCCTGGCTGTTCCCCGCTGACTAAGCATCTCCTGGCTGTTCCCCGCTGACTAAGCATCTCCTGGCTGTTCCCCGCTGACTAAGCATCTCCTGGCTGTTCCCCGCTGACTAAGCATCTCCTGGCTGTTCCCCGCTGACTAAGCATCTCCTGGCTGTTCCCCGCTGACTAAGCATCTCCTGGCTGTTCCCCGCTGACTAAGCATCTCCTGGCTGTTCCCCGCTGACTAAGCATCTCCTGGCTGTTCCCCGCTGACTAAGCATCTCCTGGCTGTTCCCCGCTGACTAAGCATCTCCTGGCTGTTCCCCGCTGACTAAGCATCTCCTGGCTGTTCCCCGCTGACTAAGCATCTCCTGGCTGTTCCCCGCTGACTAAGCATCTCCTGGCTGTTCCCCGCTGACTAAGCATCTCCTGGCTGTTCCCCGCTGACTAAGCATCTCCTGGCTGTTCCCCGCTGACTAAGCATCTCCTGGCTGTTCCCCGCTGACTAAGCATCTCCTGGCTGTTCCCCGCTGACTAAGCATCTCCTGGCTGTTCCCCGCTGACTAAGCATCTCCTGGCTGTTCCCCGCTGACTAAGCATCTCCTGGCTGTTCCCCGCTGACTAAGCATCTCCTGGCTGTTCCCCGCTGACTAAGCATCTCCTGGCTGTTCCCCGCTGACTAAGCATCTCCTGGCTGTTCCCCGCTGACTAAGCATCTCCTGGGTGATGCACGCACACACATGAACAGAGGACCCATGTTCTAATACAAGCTACTACCAGCACACCATTAAACAATCCATATCTTTCATTTTGCACTACAATAATATAATTAAACTACAACCTAACTTTGAAGCAATCTCAATATCATTCATTTTGCAATCTATATTTAAGATATTACTCATAATCAGGAATGAGAATGATTAACTCAAAGCTTGTAAGAGCTAACAAAGTATATGACAAAGGCAGAGGCCCAGTTACTGTAGCTGGATTTAATATACAGCAATATACTGTCAATATACTGTACTTAATGAATTCCTTCAATTAGTGAGGTTACCGTACCACAGTACCAGCTTGCATCTAGGGGAGTCAAAGCTTCTATGACACAACTCTCTCTTTTTTTGCAAAAAGACCTGTAATTGATCTTGTTGGAATTTTATCCTCTTAAAATAATTAAACTTCTCCATAACTGAAATTTTTTGAACTAAATTACCACCAACAAGAAAGATGTCTTCCTTAATATCCACAATTACAGGTGGGATGGACATTGTTAGAACCATGCAGGTATAGTACAAATCTTGAACACCAAACCACACACCAAAAGATGAGACGACGATGTTTCGCTCCATTCTGGACCTTTATCAAGTCGATTGTGATAATGTGATATTTGTGATAACTTTTACCATAGGGAAACTAGGGAGCCGGTCGGCCAAGCGGACAGCACACTGGACTTGTGATCCTGTGGTCCCGGGTTCGATCCCAGGCGCCGGTGAGAAACAATGGGCAGAGTTTCTTTCACCCTATGCCCCTGTTACCTAGCAGTGAAATTGGTACCTGGGTGTTAGTCAGCTGTCACGGGCTGCTTCCTGGGGTTGGAGGCCTGGTCGAGGACTGGGCCGCGGGGACACTAAAGCCCCGAAATCATCTCAAGATAACCATTATCACTCTCCTTTCTTAGTATTAACAATATTCAATTATTACCACTTTTTTCCATATTTTTTATTTTATAATTTCCATTACAATTTAATGTAACATTCTGCCAATGAGAATGTTACATTAAATTTTTTCCTCAAATACTCATCTTAACTCAAGAATATAAATTTTTTCTTGAGCTACTACCTTAAACCTTCTATACTGGACCTAATTTTTTATTCAACTTCAATTAAACATAAAACGAAGGCAAAGAAATACCCAGCACATACCCTGGCATCTCGACGATCGTGTCCTGCAGTCTGACCAGTTGCTATGAGTAGCTTGTTGGGGTGCATCGCCAAGCTGATGAAAATGAAATCATCTTAGTACTCATCAAAAGTAAATAAATAACCCAACCCACACACATGAAATTAAATTTATGACATTTCAGTCCATTCTGAACCCTTATCAAGTCCGTAGTTGAGTTGAGTATATATTATATCTCTACTGTATATATTAACCAACCATTTAATATCATCAGTATGACCGAGATAATGTCGTTGCATCTGGTCCTCCACATTATACAGGACCACCACCGCAGCGACGAAGTAAACGATCTCCCCTGTCGGCAACTGGAAGACATTGTTTCTGCAGTCTCGTCCTCTGTAAATCAAGAAATGAAAGTCAATATTATGCCTAGGTAACCTAATCATAGTCACAAAAAGTAGAGTTGAGTGTAATGAAATGCCTCTTTCTGGCAGGTCCTTCCATGCCTCCCCAAGCTACACACTGGTAGACCTGTCAAACCTTCAGTACCACACAGAGTTCAGAGTACCACCACTGAGTTCAGAGTTTTATAGATACATAGGGTGCTGCATGCTATCTGAGCTTGCAGTATGTTATGAGTCTAATTGATGACTACCCGAAACGCTGTGTGTACGAGTAACTTTGCAAGAATCTAAAAATACCAATAGTATGTAATCTCACAAACCCATTGTACCTTCTTGTAAATAAATTAATAAACAAACAAATAATTAAATTCTTAGATGATTTATGTTGAATAATTATATATCAGTTGAAGATCCCCAGGTGCAGATACTGGAAAGATTGAATAATAGTGTAATCAAGGCAAAGCGAGGTTCAAAGTATCGGCTGTAATGATGATTCACAAGAGCCTACCGAGGACTAGTAACAGAATCTGAATCTGGATTATTCAATCAAAGTGGATTACTGCTTTCTTATTGTCTGCTTTTCCTTAATGCTTGTGTCTGATCCTCCACATACTGATTCTCACAAACAGTGGCAGACGGTTGGTACAAGTTAGATGAAAAGATGACATCATAGACCAATAGCACAAACTTCATACATCACAAAAATCTTTGAAAGAGTGCCAAGATAAATCACATGGAACTACAACATCTACATAACCCTGGACAACATGGGTTCAGAATAGGGCACTCCTGCCTCTCACAATTGCTAGATCACTGATATGTTCCTAGGTGCCATGGAAGACAAGCAAAATGCAGATGTAATATGCACAGACTTTGCAAGAGCTTTCAACAACAGTAACAGGAATCAATAAAATTGATAGGGAAGAATTCCCGAGAACTGGAACTTTAGGAACAAGTGGTCATAGATTTAAACTAACTAAACAAAGCTGCCAAAGAAATATCAGAAAATTCACTTTTAGAAACAGAGTGGTATACGGTTGGAACAAATTTAAGTGAGGTGGTGGTGGAGGCCAAAACTGTCAATAGTTTCAAAGCGTTATATGACAGTGCTGGGAAGACGGGATGCCACGAGCGTAGCTTTCATCCTGTATTTACACTTGGGTAATTACACTGTGTGCCCTAGCTTTGTATTTTGCTTTGACTGTGGATCAGGTTTTCATTCTAAGGTAGTCAGCTCACATTTCCCTGTTCCACCAGAGATACTTGCATTCAGGGGGTTTAGGTTCCTCATCTACAAGTTAACTCCGCTCGAGTCACTTCGCTTCTGTCTAGCATACCGAACTTCTTTTCCACTGCAAGACATGTTGAAAGTGCTTGTGCTACAATCGCACATAACCTTGCTCCATACGAATGCTGAGACTGCGAAGGGAATGCTTGCATTGCATAAGTGATTGTTCTTGTTGGAGACTGCATTTGCCTTCTCTCACTGGATGCTTACAATCAGGGTTCAAAATGTATTAGCCAAGACTTGTCTGCTTGTGTGACAGTCAGGGCGGATGGTTTTCTTCATACTTTTTTTTGTTTAGGTCTTGCATTTGTTCATGGTTAGGCTGTTATGGCTTCCTTGTCTAATTCCATGCCTGATGCTGCTGTTTAGAGATTTGTGTGTGATTCGATATTTTTGAATACCAAGTCAATTCTTATGCCTCCTTCATTTATTCTACTGGGTGCACAATTCCTTCCTCCCTCAGGCCTGAGCAGCTTGTCGGTAATGGCTGTTGTTGCAGAGTACTCAGGGGGGGGTCTTGAGGTTATCTTGAAATGATTTCGGGGCTTTAGTGTCCCCGCGGCCCGGTCCTCGACTAGGCCTCCACCCCCAGGAAGCAGTCCGTGACAGCTGACTAACACCCAGGTACCTATTTTACTGCTAGGTAACAGGGGGCATAGGGTGAAAGAAACTCTGCCCATTGTTTTTCGCCAGCGCCCGGGATCGAACCAGGGACCACAGGATCACAAGTCCAGCATGCTGCCCGCTCGGCCGACCGGCTCCCACAGCCTGATCAACCAGGCTGTGATTCATACGTCAGGCTGCGAGCAGCTGCATCCAACAGCCTGGTTGACCAGACCAGCAACGAGGAGGCCTGGTCGACAACCAGGCCACTGGGTCGCTAAGCCCCAAAATCACCTCAAGATAACCTCAAGGTAGGTAAGGTAGCATTGCAATGTTAGTGGCTGTTGTTGGTGAGCCACCCTCATAAGTGGCAGCCTATCAGGCTGTAGACATGCTTTGCAGTACCAACTTTTGTAGCCCCCAACTCCAGCAGGTGACAATGCTGTCAATTCATTGCTGTTCTATGACTAGAACATCTCATTTCAGACAGTCAAAATTTCCTCTGGATTCCTCTGCAACTTCTACTTTAGTTGTTTTGCATCCAGTGCACCCATTTTCTGTTCAGTCGGCATCTTGGCCTTCACATTTGATTCAGCCTCCTAAGTGGCTGCAGACAGAGGACCCACGGGCATCATCGGAGCCTTGGTTGCTGGTAGCAGCTTCTGAGGATGCCCTATCCTGAAAATACGATGGCGGCTGTGGAGCCCACTAGTCCTTCCTCCACTTCCTTGTTTCTTTTGGATGTGTCTAGATGTGTGTAGTCCCCGGATTTAGAGGGGGGTTTCTTTGTTGACACTCTTCCTCCTTTGAGCTTTTCAAGTTCTACAGTACGGGGGGATGCCCCCACCCCACCCCTAATATCTTTTTTGTTGCAAGAGTGGGTCTCAATAATTTGGCTGCAATATGACCTTCTTTGGAGTTTGTGAAGGCATTCTCTAGGTATTACAGGGACATCACAAATTTTGAAGGAAAAAATTATTAATTCATTGCAACTATACAATATCCCTAAAAGAAAATCAGTACCTAATTAGGGTGTTGAGAGCATCCTTCAAATAAATAATGTAATTTAATTGATAGATTTTTAAATAATTACCCATGTCGACCAGACCACACACTAGAAGGTGAAGGGACGACGACTTTTCAGTCTGTCCTGGACCATTCTCAAGTCGATCGAGTTGAGAATGGTCCAGGACGGACCGAAACGTCGTCGACCCTTCACCTTCTAGTGTGTGGTCTGATCAACATACTTTAGCCACGTTATTCTGACTCATCGCCTGTAATTACCCATGTCCACAGTTTAGGCTACCAATATAATATTTAAGTGGTCAAAGATCTTGCAATCTAAGCACCAGTCACCACAAGCTTCCGTACAATACTAATTTTGATTTAGGTCAATGTTTTACCATTTTTTAAGCAAAGGACAAAACATACTTGCCTATAGCCATAAACCCATTCTAACTTCAGTTTAGCTGCAGGTGGCACCGAGGGGCTGGTTGGAGAATATGTCTCTTGCACGGACGTTGGAACATAGAGGTTGAGTGGCCGCCCACGAAGGTATAGCTTCACCACGCCTTCATCTGGGTTATACTGTGCTTCACGAGCTCTGATGAACACAAAACTATTAGGTATGATGCAAAACTTTAACACGAGTAATATAATAAAAGGACAATAATTTATTTTGTTATAGCACTATAACTATGGGATGCAGAACTTCACTACTTAAAAAAAAAAAAATTTAATTTATGTACAATACTTTAAAACTCTACTATAAGAAATACTTTATTATTCTACTATAAGAATTTTTTTATAATTCCACTAGAAGAAACACAATACTACACAATTCTACTAAAAAGACGAACCACAATAAATATTATTAACAAATTTCTACTATTCACTACACTAGTAATTTAAAACGTGCTGTCAGAATAACTACTGTACAGAAATTACAATACAAAAAACAATGCCTGTAGGCCACAATTAATTACACTGAATAGCCTACAATATACTGTATAAATAACAGTCTAAAAATGTAAATAATCAAAAGGCTCACATTCTAAGTATGACAAATAAGCAAACTATTATAGTGTGAAAAGGAAGGAAGTAAAGATATATGGATGTGATGATCAGATTAAATGAAATATATCATCTTGGGGTACCTAATGGGTGTTGATGTACGTACTCTAACCTAACACCTGTTGATACAGACACTAATATAACATGTTGATATGTACACTAATCTAACACGTGATGATACGTACACTAATCTAACGCGTGTTGATACGTACTCTAACCTGAGTTGATACATGAATCAAACATGTTGATATGTACCCTACTAGACCGATACCACTGACTCTATAAACCAATTATGAATAACAACCAAATTTATGCTTCACTGGTTCATAAAAATTTGAAAAACTTAAAATGACATTAATATGTGTTCTTAATATGTATATGTAATATGTATTACCCATTGAGAATGGTAATCTATTCAAATTCATAACTTTGGCTGCTAGCCTATGGTAGTTTTCCCCAGTAATCTCAAAAATGTTTTGTAACAGTTATAAATCTAAATGATCTTATTTACAATATAAAAAATACTGAGCAAAAGAACAGTGTTTGCAGTACATATAAAGCAGAGACAGATAGAGACAGAGAGAGAGAGAGAGAAAAGAGAGGGAAAAGAGAGAGAGAAAAGAGAGAGAGAAAAGAGAGAGAAAAGAGAGAGAAAAGAGAGAGAAAAGAGAGAAAAGAGAGAGAGAAAAGAGAAAAAGAGAGCGTGCGAGTGTGCACATCCATGCTAGTCACTGAGGCTAAAATAGAGTTTAGGAGCTACCAAGTCAAGAAACATGAAAATTTTAGGAAAAAACAAAAATACAAGCCATGATAAGTAGCTCATGAAAGGGAACAGCCTAACTGTGAAGATGAGAACCCCCTCAATCGATAACACATACAATAAACACACGAGAACGCAGGCAGAACAGATAATTAAAGAATAAGATAAGCGGGGAACCCCTTTTGGAGGGTTTGGCTGGTTATGTTACCCATGCCTGGTCAGGTTGAGCTGGGAGGTGGCGTTCCTCAGGTTGGTCAGATTGTGGAGAGAACCGCTGTTGGGTCGTCTGCAAGGCAATAAATACGACCAGAGGCTGGGTTAGGATACAACAGACAGACAGACAGACAGACAGGTCGCTAAACAGCAGACAGACAGACAGCCAGCATGTATAGGGGAAGGGGCAAGAAATCATTCATAAACTTCAATGATTCGATAAGCAGCAAGGCACAATCATTTCCAAGCTCGACAAGATCGCAATTTCAAGACAAGAAATTGTCTTTTCACTATGCAACAAAAACAGTTGCATTGCAGACTATAGGCACTATGTAGCCTGTTACAAGAAGACTAGCAAACAAAGCATCTTTAAGCAAACAGTCTTAAGAACATTCTCCTATTTCCGACATTAAACCACATTTAAATTCCTATACAGTTTAATTAATGCCGAAGCAGACTTTTAGATCACACGTCCATGCTTTATTGCAAATTCAAAAAAACATTTATGCATTAAACAAAAGCTGGCATTATCTTACCGACAAGTTGCAATAAGTGATATAGAATACAGGCTATAATGCCTTAATATAACCGAGACATTAACTAGTTGACTATGCAGTCTATATATACATCCTTTGGAGACAAAAAGTACCTTCAATGTTTACGGGATAATCATGCCCGTGCCACCTCTTTTTTACAAATACAAATATTAATCAATCACTCAATTAATCAATTTCTTTATCAATCAACCTTCAATGTATGAGAGAGGGGAGGAGGAGCTTGTATTTCAAGAAGCCTGGTTGAAATTCACACAATATACCATCAATGTAACTATTTCTTACTCTATCTTAAATTAATTAATACGTGCCAGGGAACTAATTAAGCAGTTAGCAGCTACCATGCACGCAGTCACTTCATGCAGGTCTTGACAATAGTATACCTGATTTAGGGCGAGGACAGGAAGCCGGCGGCTTGTCGAAGGTCCACCCCACCCCTCTCCAGTTGCCTTGATATTTTCAAGGTATAATTTTTATTCAAGACGATCCATTATTAGGCTACACATACAATTAATACAAGGCATTCATATACACTAAATCTTCTACTGGTTACAGGCTATTATTACTTCATAACTAATTTAAATGATAACCAAAAATCATAAGCACGATAACTTATCGGTGTTGCATGAAACAGTTGTGCTTTCGTTAAACAAAAGTACATTCACAAAATACCCTAACAAAACGATACGAATTTACAAGTATTTAGGCCAGAGTTCTCTTCGACATATTGACTAAAACTGTCATTGCAACTCAATGTAATCACCTAAGTGTAGTTACAGGATGAGAGCTAAGCTCGTGGTGTCCCGTTTTCCCAGCACTCTTTGTCATGTTGACCAGACCACACACTAGAAATTGAAGGGACGACGACGTTTCGGTCCGTCCTGGACCATTCTCAAGTCGATTGTGACTTGAGAATGTGTCATTCTCAAGTCGATTGTGACTACTCTTTGTCATATAACACTTTGAAACTACTGAAAAAACTTTAATATTTTTTTTGGCACCTTTGTTTCCATAGGTTGGATCTGTGACCTCTTGTTCTTGATGCTGGTTTCAGGAATTCCTCTTTGTCAATTTGGTTGGTTCCTATTAGTATTTTTGTAAGTGGTGATCATATCACCTCTTTTTCTTCTACTAGTTTCGGCATGTTTAACGACTCTAGTCTCTCCTCGTAACTCTTTTCTATTCACCTAGTTGTGCTTGCGGGGGTTTAGCGCTGCTCTTTCGGCTTGCCTCTCAACTGTCAATCAACTGTTACTAACTGCTAATTTTGTTTTTCCACATACTCACACACCCCCAGGAAGCAGCCCGTAACAGCTATCTAACTCCCAGGTACCTATTTACTGCTAGGTAACAGGGGCATCAGGGGTGAAAGCAACTCTGCCCATTTTATTTCTCGCCGGCGCCGGGAATCGAACCCCAGACCACAGGATTACGTGCCCAGCATACTGTCCATTCAGCCACCATTCTCTGTGTCTGAGAGCGCGCTTCATATAAAACACTAGTAAAAAGTGATAATTATACAGAAAATGAGCGTAGCCGTGAGCAATAATTAGGGTAGAATGTTGCCATGTTGTTTTAGTTTCAGTTTTATCTACTCAGACCGAAGTGTCTATGTAGCACAGGCTATGGTGACCCCGTAACTTGCCATGCTCGCATAGAGAGGTAGGGGATACAATGTCACTCAATATATAAGTGGGACTGGCTGGTTATAAATTAGGAGCTGCCTCGTACAGGCTAATTAGGCCTTCTGCAGTTATAAATAAATAAATAAATATGTTTATTCAGGTAAGGTACATACATACAAGTGATGTTACATTAATGGATTGATATATAGACAGAGCTAGTACATACAATGCCTAAAGCCACTATTACGCAATGCGTTTCGGGCAAGTTATCTTGTGTTCTTATGTTCTTATGATAAAGGTGGTGGTGAGAGGCAGGAGCCGGGCTGCATGCCACCACATTCTCTCTCAGCAATAAAATGCTCAACTTCCTGTCTATCCTCACTCATGTGTTTTGAGATTTCAAGGTTGACAGGGAGGAATCACGGATGAGGAACAGGTGAATCACGGATGAGGAACAGGTGAATCGTGGGTGAGGAACAGGTGAATCATGGATGAGGAACAGGTGAATCACGGATGAGGAACAGGTGAATCACGGATGAGGAACAGGTGAATCATGGGTGAGGAACAGGGGAATCATGGGTGAGGAACAGGAGAATCACGGGTGAGGAACAGGTGAATCACGGGTGAGGAACAGGGGAATCACGGATGAGGAACAGGTGAATCACGGATGAGGAACAGGTGAATCATGGGTGAGGAACAGGTGAATCACGGATGAGGAACAGGTGAATCACGGATGAGGAACAGGTGAATCACGGATGAGGAACAGGTGAATCATGGGTGAGGAACAGGGGAATCATGGGTGAGGAACAGGAGAATCACGGGTGAGGAACAGGTGAATCACGGGTGAGGAACAGGGGAATCACGGGTGAGGAACAGGGGAATCACGGGTGAGGAACAGGTGAATCACGGCTGAGGAACAGGGGAATCATGGGTGAGGAACAGGGGGAATCATGGGTGAGGAACAGGGGGAATCATGGGTGAGGAACAGGGGGAATCATGGGTGAGGAACAGGTGAATCATGGCGTGAGGAACAGGGGGAATCATGGGTGAGGAACCGGTGAATCACGGGTGAGGAACAGGTGAATCACGGGTGAGGAACAGGGGAATCACGGGTGAGGAACAGGTGAATCACGGCTGAGGAACAGGGGAATCATGGGTGAGGAACAGGGGGAATCATGGGTGAGGAACAGGGGGAATCATGGGTGAGGAACAGGGGGAATCATGGGTGAGGAATAGGTGAATCACGGGTGAGGAACAGGTGAATCACGGGTGAGGAACAGGTGAATCACGACTGAGGAACAGGTGAATCACGGGTGAGGAACAGGTGAATCACGACTGAGGAACAGGTGAATCACGGGTGAGGAACAGGTGAATCATGGGTGAGGAACAGGTGAATCACGACTGAGGAACAGGTGAATCACGGGTGAGGAACAGGGGGAATCATGGGTGAGGAACAGGTGAATCATGGCGTGAGGAACAGGTGAATCACAGGTGAGGAACAGGTGAATCACGACTGAGGAACAGGTGAATCACGGGTGAGGAACAGGTGAATCACGGGTGAGGAACAGGTGAATCACGGATGAGGAACAGGTGAATCATGGGTGAGGAACAGGTGAATCACGGGTGAGGAACAGGGGAATCACGGGCGAGGAACAGGTGAATCACGGCTGAGGAACAGGTGAATCACGGCTGAGGAACAGGAATATAGCAAGAAAGTTTACATAGCTAAAGAAAGTTTAAATATAACGCAATCAAGAATATAATAAAGTATATGACGAAAGTTTCTCAAAATGAATCTACAATTTTAACCCAAAGAACAAACTGAATCAAATAAGAACTTAAAACCAGAAAGAAACGTATTTGATATTTTTATACCCAAAAACTGTTCAAAACAGCCAGCTATCACTTCAATAAAGTGATACATAAGTACATTTCAAAGATAGGCTAGGGGGGCAAAATTGAGCCTCTGGCCTATCTTTACAAATTACAAATACAAATCTAGACTCAAGACTTAAGGAGATGCTTAAGAACAGATGTTTTTTTTCACCTACTGGGTTATAAACCCGTGGAACCTCCTACCCGACGAAGACTTAAAAGCCAAAATTTTATCGATTTTTTAAATCCACCTTTAAAAAAAAATCACCAGGTTCTCATATAAATTCAGGGAAATATATACATTGGTCGCCTGTCCCCCCAATGACTTATTTGTTATCATTAATGCAAGTTGGGTGTTAACAGCATAAAACAGTATAGCTCTTTATCAGTGTTAAAACAGCTGTCAACAAGGGTTATATATCCACAACAACGGGTTATATATCCACAACAACGGGTTATATATCCACAACAACGGGTTATATATCCACAACAACGGGTTATATATCCACAACAACGGGTTATATAACCACAACAACGGGTTATATATCCACAACAACGGGTTATATATCCACAACAAGGGATTATATATCCACAACAACGGGTTATATATCCACAACAACGGGTTATATATCCACAACAACGGGTTATATATCCACAACAACGGGTTATATATCCACAACAACGGGTTATATATCCACAACAACGGGTTATATATCCACAACAACGGGTTATATATCCACAACAACGGGTTATATATCCACAACAACGGGTTATATATCCACAACAACGGGTTATATATCCGCAACAACGGGTTATATATCCACAACAACGGGTTATATATCCACAACAACGGGTTATATATCAAAGACAGCTGATGGCTCATTATGCTATATTTTGTGAGGTTAAAAAAGAGCCGGAAACGCCTCTCACGCCTCCATTAGGTTACCACAGGAGAGAGGAATTTAACAATGTTACATTCGCTGACATTCTGTACGTTTTCTATGGTAGAAACAGTGTTA